TAACATTAGACGGCAAAATAGGCCTTACTAGCCCGTGGGTCCGAGAATCACAAGACGCAGCTACGCATGATTTTGTGAAACACTTAGGAACTGTTCCTGCGAATGACAAGTGCTTTAGGGGACATTACATGAAAAAAAAAGGGTTTTAAAAAGTGTCGTCATCCGACAAAATCAGATACTTACAGAACAAGATTGGCACAGTAGGTCCCGATAACGCACGCTATATACATTGTCTATGCCCAGGGCAAAGCCTGGAGCGGTCAACGCCGCACTTGTGGATCATTTTTAAACCACTTAAGTTAATGTTCAGCTGCTTTCAGCGGGTGAAAAAGAAGCACACATAGATGAGGAATGTGATCAAACGGCCCGATTTTGAAAATAAACTGTAATTTTAGAGCCTAAAGGAAGTTTTACAGGGGAGCACCGCTCGCGTTAGCGTTCCAGCCCTCCAGCCGCCTCGAAAATAACCAGCCTCTGTTTTTTTGCAGTATCGTCTCGACCAACCCGACCAATCAGGACGCGGCGTTCACACGCCGAGGCATTTGGTGAGGTCGACGCTACACTTGTCGACCAGTTTTATACCCTTCAAGTCCATGTTGACTACTTTCAGTGAATGAAAAAGAAGCGCACATAAATGAGGAATGTCATCACGCGGCTCGTTTTAAAAAATAAATTTTAACTTTAGAGCCTCAAAGGAAGTTTTACAGAGGAACACCGCTCCTGTCGCCAACTGAGTGTTTGTGTTACACCTGGTATTATTAACAACACGCTTTTTAAAAAAATAAAAAACATAGAGACATAGATTTTAGCGGGCTAAATGGACGCAAATCGTCAAAATTAATATTCGAGAAGTTTTAAACCCGTAAATGTGGACGCGAAGGATGCCAACCAATCAGGGAGCGGCGTAACACATGGATCCCGCCTGGCCATGAAGCAGTTGGTCTATGGATATAGTTGATTGTCTATGTTTTCCTTAACTTAATACGACCCAACTATTCAACCCCTTAACTCCCTAGTAAGGCCAATTTCAACCTAAAGGTGTTTTTAATTTTTTTTTTACGAAACATCACAGTTCTAGGTGAACACGATCTTTGCGTATACCAATAGGGTAGTTTCGTAGATCCCTGAACCGGAAGCACACAGACGCCATGTTGGCGGAAGTAAATCCAGACTTGACATGGGAAAGAGACGTTAGTCAAACGTATCGGCCACATTTGAACATAAACAGTCGTTTGATACTTGTTTGCAGTGCATATGTGTTTCGCGTGCGATATTTGTACAGCTCGGCTATAGTTTTAGATCCGAAGAGAGGTTAGTTTCCGGCCAATTTGGCGTCTGCTGGTCCTGCTTGCTTCCGGTTCAGGATCTACGAAAGTACCCTATTTGTACGCGGTTTCGTACAAAAAAGGGGAAATATGTGCAGTTTTTCGTACAAAAAATGTACGAAACGTTCGTGTGCCCAAAAAACTGTGATGTCTCGATCAAAATTGTACATACCATTTAGTGTGTTCAAGAAATGGCGCGGTTCGCGACATGAAAATTAATGCAATTTTCCTCAACGTTCTTATGTCGTAAACAGAGGAAACGATGCAGACCGTTCGTGGGCAAGCCGCACTCAAATCAGGAAAATTAGGATCTGGTCAGGACCGGAAACCAGGGGCCACCGTACCGGAAACGCGTCTTTTGAGTGGCGTATCGAGGCGTAACGTTTCAAAGGATGAAAAGACATACACTTTTGGCCGAATAACTTCTTAAAGAAGAACCATACCACTTTTACCCTGCGGTTTGTCTTTTGACGAGCAATTTACTTGCGCTTCAGGTCCAGACCCCAAGCACCATAATTCTTTACCTCACTCTGGGAAGAATGGGGCTGAGCTACCGCTCCATTAATTGCGTGACGTACTTGTGGACACTTTTTGACCCCCCCCCCTTTTTTTTCACCACGTAACGCGGGAAACGCTTAGCCAGACCCCACCCGAGTCTCACGGCGGAACGGTACGCAAAATTTGACAGGCATACACTATTTTCACACATACATCATATATGGACTTCCGGAATGTGCCCCCCCAAAATTTTTAGCGAACCGCTAAGCTGTATTGGATCCCCCGTCTCTCATATACCACAGCGTTCCGCTAAACTCATTTTCCCAGTCCTACTTGAACCGGAGCGCCCTAAGCACGATCTCATGTGCCTGTCCCAGTTTCCACCGTTTCGACGTTGACTCACATTCATGCTCGATCTCTGCAGTTCGTCGTCACTTGGCAAAATCTCTGAGCAGGCCAGCGGCAATGTTGAGGAGATCCTTCCTCACCATCAAGCTTCGTCGTCGTCGTGCAAACTGAATCCTTCGCTGGCTCAGCGCGATAACCGAACGTCCGAGCTGCAACGCTGGCCGACCTGCTTGCTTCTGTTGGGTCTGCTGTACTGTTCGCGTCGCTTTCGCTCGCTCCGCTCCGCTCAACTCTGTCTCCCCCCTCCCCCTATCTTCCTCCTCCGCTCCTCCGCCCGCCAGGGTTCCCGGCAGCCGCTCGCTTCAGGGGGAAAGGGGAGGGGGAGGAGTTGGGTACACGCCGCACATTCCAAGACCGTCTGTGAGGTCCGCGGAGGTCCGTCAGTGCACAGTGGGCCAGAAGACCGGTGGGGGCGGTCTAAATCCCGGAGTGTTTTGAGCCCCAGAGTCGCTAAATGGGACTCGAAACGGACGTATGACCCCTCCAATGGTTTGCTCTCCGAACGAGGAATCCTTTGGTGGGGTCACTCGTTCGGTTCGAGTCCTGCTAAGCGACTCCAGAGCTCAAACCGCGTTGCCGCCTGCCCCGGTCTTCTGGCCCACTGTGCATGCTGTGACGTGGGGTGCTACCCCCGGGGCATCGAAGAAACGGCCCCGACCGGGCGACCGCTGCCGAAATCCCCTCCCTGGCGCAAGGTTTCCCGGAAGTCGTCCCTCTCCAGCCGAACGAGCGTGCCAAACTGCGCTCCCCTGCGCGGGAAAGTCCCCCGGAGCGCCTTGGTGTGTCCCCGGGGCCTTTCGGTCGCGGTTCGGGTACGCTGGTACGCTCGGCCACCGACCGAAGTCTCGAGCTCGAGTCAAGTTGCAAAGCATCATGGTAGCAAGCCGACCCAACCACTCGACCCAACCCCTTAGTTTTGAGTCCTGGGCTCTTCTAGCTCCGTCCACGCGTTTTTGATCGTGATTTGTTAAACAAACTGTTGGTACTTGTCGTAGCTGTGGACGAGAAAGGCAATCACTTGTTAGTGTTTGATCCGGAGGAGCCTTTTCAGCGCGCTTCCAGTTCCTTAGAAGCAGCCCTGTTTAAAAGGGTACTTAGTGTATTATGTTACGGATCCTGTGAGTGTTTGAGTGATGGGGATGTTTACGTAGTCATTCTGTTAACGTTTCTTTCAGCTGCAACTCCAGAGCCTCTCCGCGGCTCCGAGTGTGGCAAGCCTGCTGCTCTGCGTACGACGGCACAACCGCAGTCGCCACGGTGCAGTCGCTGCAGAAAGCAGAGGTAGGCGAGGCTGTTCGGAACTCTCCTGGCAGCAGTAGAGGACTCTAGGCAGCAGCGGGCCCCCCGCTCGCCTTCCTCACCTTCCCCGAACGGAGCTTGGCACTCGACACGGCCTTATTCCAAATCATTGGAGAACATGGCGACTTCAACTGCAACTGGAAGGGTGAGTGAGTGCGAAAGTTAGCGTAGGCTATCCTAGGGCAAGCTTGCCTGCCCCAGGGAGAACAAAATAGTCCAAATTATGTCAACATGACCTCAAAATGAGCGATCTTTGGTCAAAATTTGGTCCATTTTGATGTGCAAAAGACAGCTGATAACTCAAATAGTGTTTTTATGAATTCTATGTGAAAAGAGTCATCTCAACTTAACTGGGCCTTCATTTTAAAATAAGACGGATTAAAGAGGTAACTCCAAAGATGTATTTGAGAATTATAGACTACACAGAACTTAGCTCCTCTTGAATTGTCCTCAAGTTCTTTCTCATTTGCAAGAACTAAGTGCGCGTGGTCCCGTAGTCCATCCTAACGTAAAAATTTAAATCACAGAAACCATCTACTTTTGAAAATTTTCAGTTATTATACCTTGTGCTTTTTTGACACACATCCATTTGCTTGATTTATTTGTTAAGTTTTAGTTGATCCATGAAGTGGAAGGAGGGAATGACTCAATTTTCATCATTTTTCAGGAGAGACAACAGACTGTTTGCAGGGAAAAATGAAAATGAATAAATGAACGATGCTAATGGCCATTGGTCAAAAATGCATAAGTAATTACAATCAAACATTTTTAATGTGTATAGATTAATTCTAAACCAGTTTATGTAATTTTAATCTGTAAATTGAAATGGACTATGGAATCATGTTCACTTTGTTCTTCTAAAAGAAAATAAATTTGGAGGCAATTCAAGTGGAGCTGAGGTGTCCCTTGAGTCTATATTGCTCTGGTACATTTTTGGAGTCACCTCTTCTATCCACCTTATCTTAAAATGAAGGGCCAGTTAAACAAGTTGAGTTATCTCCTTTCGTCATTTTGTGCAACAGAGTCATGTGGACTTAAGCCGAGACCGTAAAATGGAACAAGTTGATTTACATCCATTGTTCATTTTATCCTAAACAACTGGGATTCAGTAAAATAATTTGGTGGAACGATGTGAACCATCCTGAGGCACTACAATATAATAAAAAGCTCATTTTGGAGATTAGTAAAGTTACTCCTTTCTTCTGCTTTTTCCAAGATAACATAAGCACACTTTTTTGAGTTATCATAGTGTTTTGTTGTCATTGAACGTCCCCAACTCCCCAACTGCAGAGAACGATTGTTAAAAAACTAGAATCAGCCTTGGAGCTGCTTGTCGCTATCTCAACTTTACACTCTCAATTAAGTGGGAAATGGAATCAACTCAACCAAAGTCAACATGACTCCGTTGGAAATATTGCCCACAGGAGATAGCTCAACTATTGTTTTTATGTATCTTTTGCAAAAAAGAATCAAGTCAACGTAATCTCCTATGGAACAAAGAGCCCAGTCCAAGTTTATACAACTCCGTTTCCTATTTTAAGGGAAAGTGATAAATATGAGAAATCCTCTACGAAGTGGAATTGGTTATCATTTATAACGTTCATTCTTTGAGTTTTAGTTTTTGCTGCGAACAGTTTTTTGTTTCTCCTGAAAATGGTCAAAGTGGAGTTACCCCCTTCTTCCGCTTCCTGGATCATTTTGTCACATTAGTTTCAACGTGTTGTCACGTTCCTGGAATGAAAGTGGTGTTAGGGCATAGTCTTTGATTAACCAGTGTACCCTTGAAAGTAGTTCCTTGGCAGCAGTTAGGCTCGACAGGAACAGAATCAACATTTTTTGTGGAGTCTCTCTCGACCGTTTCTTCCCCTGGTCTCAGATTTCTACTCCAATGGCTGCGGAGTGCTGCAACTGCGGCCAGAAGTTTGGCCCGCACTGCCAGCCGGCCGGGGTGCACAACTGCGGCCACACGCCGTGCCAGTCCTGCGTGGAGGCGGGGCCAGACTCGGAGAGCCGCTGTGGCGTATGCAGAAAGGTGAGGACCGAAGCGGGGCCGCAATTGGCTGTCTGCTTCTCATAAAACATTTTACACTCTCAGTCTCGTAGTGACTTTTTATCTCTTGCTAAAAAGTTTATTGTGCAATCGTAGTATGTACTGTTTTCTCTTTAGCTATGCACTATTTTGTTCATTGTATAATGTATTTAGTCCATTAAACCTGACTTTTTGTCATTTGCAATGAACTTTTCAATTTCTACATGATCTATCGACACTTCATCTCCAAAACGATCAAAATTGTGCATAGCTAAAGAGATAATAGTGTATGTTACATTTGCTCAAAAACCGTTACAAGCAAGAGAGAAAAATGTCCTCATAGGTCTGAGAGTGAAAAACATTTTACGTCTGTTTAAAAAACTTTGTAAGCGAGATAAAAAGTCAATACAAGGGTGAGAGTGTATGTACCAGCCAGGTACACACCAAATTAAAAGGCGCACTCAGACTCGTACTGTGTTTTTGTCAGATAACGTATGACATTTGTGCACATTAATAAGCGTATTAACTTTCTTGTTTGTTTCAGAAACATGATTTTCAATTTTGTCTTGTCGAATCTGTTGAGCTTCTTATCGAAATTCTATTATTGTGCACAAACTTCAATGAGTATTGATAAAATGTTAATTCAAGGATGCGAGTGCGGGTCTTAACATTTGGACATCTGTCTCCTTTCACAGAGGTCTAGGTGGAGCCAGATGGCCTGCAAGGGACTCGACGCCGGGTGCTCCAGTCAAGGCGGCCACCCTCTCCACTGCGACACGCTGCCCACCGATCAGTGCCTGGGCGAGCACAAGTCCTGCAAGGTGCAGCGCTTGACCCGGGACTCTGCTCGGAGCGTCGCCGCCATGCACGACGGCGTGGCCTCAGAGCTGCAGCACGCCCAGGAGAGCCTCCAGGGACTGAGGTAGGCACGCACGAAAGCCTTGGCCAAGTCAACCAGAAGGTTGGTTGAGAAAAGAGAAGTCAAATTGCTTACAGTCTTAATACAGAAATAATGTTGCTTATGTTACATCAAGTTTGTTTAACTTGTCTTAAAAAAGTCATAAAAAATCACCCCTATGGACACACTCTAGTTTCTATTTAATCATGGTGCCTCTGGACGGTTTACGTCAAATAAATTTATTGCGCTCCTAGCAGTTTAGTAGACTTGTCCCTCACTACGGTCTTAACTTCATTGTAAAACTCAACATTCCGCTTCCACTCTAAATTTAGCATTAAATAGAAACAACTAAACCCAAGTCAACATGACTCCAGTGAAAATATTGTCAATAGTAGATAACTCATCTTACATCTTTATGAATGTAATGTGTAAAGAATCAGGGCAACTTAAGAATCCTTCATTTTAACGACTTGAATTGAAGACCGTAAAACCACACCTGAGTACCTAACACTTTATGCTGACAATAGTTCCTCTTGACTTGTCTCCAAATTCCACTTCATTCAGGAAATATAAGCTTATTGAACCTGTTACCGTGTATAACATTCATTTGTTTAGTTTGAGTTGTCCCGTAAACAGTTTCATTTTGATTCTCCCGACAAATGGCCAAAATGGAGTTCCCCCCCTCTTTTCCGCTTCCTGGATATGTATTACTTGTCCTTCCACCGTGTACCTTGACTCCGCTTTTCCTCGGGACAAGGGGAATTTTTACACCAAAATTCATCAGATATGTAAAATTCATTGAAATTTATCAAAATTTGACTACTTCATCTAATTTTGACTAAAATTAATCAAATTTCGACTGAAATTCGTCGAATTTCGTCTGAAATTCATCGAATTTTGACTGAAGTTCATCAAATTTCGACTGAAATTCATCGAATTTCGAGATTTGTACACCGAAATTCACAGTGATTTCCCCTTGCCTCAGGACGTGGGCCAGTGCCGCCGAGGGCCGCCAGGACTCCGCCGCACTCCGTGCGCACGCGGCCAGCTTGGGCCGCATCCGAGGCGTGCTGCAGCAGGCGCTCCAGGACTTCGTGGAGGAGGCGCGCCGCTGCCAGGCAGAGGAAACCACTAGTTCGGACGAGGTAAGGAGAGGGCAGCGACCAGCACGAGATGCGTGCTCCATCTTGACAGCTCAGCAGTACTTTCAGTCATTGTTGAGGATTTTGTTACTAAGTTCCAGATCGGTACTTTGCTGGAGTCGGGCTCTTCTATGGACACGAGCCCCCTTCCACAGCCTGGCACTCCGCTGGAGTTTGGCACTCCGCTGGAGTCTGGCACTCTGCTGGAGTCTGACACTCCCCTGGAGTCTGGCACTCCGCTGGAGTCTGACACTCCCACTCCCCTGGAGTCTGGCACTCCGCTGGAGTCTGACACTCCCACTCCTCTGGAGTCTGGCACTCCGCTGGAGTCTGGCACTCCGCCGGAGTCTGGCACTCCGCTGGAGTCTGGCACTCCGCTGGAGTCTGGCACTCTCCTGGAGTCTGGCACTCTCCTGGAGTCTGGCACTCCCCTGGAGTGTGGCACTCTCCTGGAGTATGGCAGTCCTCTGGAGTCTGGAAATCCGCTGGAGTCGCTGCCCCTGGAACTGCTGCTGGCGGTGCTGGCCTACGTGCCGACGGAGCAATTGCTGCCCCTGCGGCTGCTGAACCGTTACTGGAGAACGCTGATCCTGGAGGAGCCACTGTGGCGCCACCGCCGCTTTGAGGTTCCCTTCGAATCTGGCTCCGGACAGCCGGCCATTGCAGCCATCCTGCGCTTGGCCCCGGCGCTGGACACGCTGAACATGCAGACTGGACTTTATGGTTCGTCTCACGGGCGTCTTTACCTTCAGGCTCTCGCCGTGGGCAAGTGCAAGGTACGTGTGCCATCCAGGGCACTGTGAATCCAGGAAAGTGACTTTACGTTTTTAATAATATCAATCTTGTCACGTTCACGATCGTGAAGGAATAAGTGTTGTTCCCCTTGGACCTTCCCCTTATTGCGAGAAAAACTACGCAAAGTCCTGATCGCTGTGCAAGTTTCGGAATCTTCTGTAATTTTGTTTTCTATATCTTGTGTGTTTTTGACAGGTCCGCTCTCTGCATCTCAGCTTTTCAGCTAACACGGTGTTGAACAAGTTGATCTCGGAAGTGTTCTCCGGTCGTAGGTCCACATTACGGGAGCTCGACATGTACCTTGACGGCTTTCAGGCTAACAGTAACCTAGTGCCAGCATTGGAGGCCATTGACGCTTTGGAAGAGCTGAAAACGCTGCGTCTCAGTACTCACAGGGGGCAAAGACACGGTTTTGCCTTCAAATGTCTTCGCCTGACGACTCTAGACATCGCGGTGGGTCTGGAGATAGAATTGGCTCGGGACCTCATCCGCCTGGGAAGAAGCACTCTGACCACGATCAAATGCGGTTCTCAAATGGACGAGCTGAAGACAGATTTGGCACAGTGCGAAAAGCTCACCCACTTTGAAGCCACCACCTACTCGGTGGGCGGGCTTGCTGCACTTGTCCCGCAACTGTCTCACCTACAGTGCATAACAATACACGTGTCTGGTGGTTTTTATCGCTTTGATGTGCAATGGTTCCAGCGGGCTGCCAAAAACTTTTCCGGAAAGATCCATCTTATTGTTTCAACTTATTGGTGCCATTGGAGTAACGTCACCTCGTCGGCGGACTGCCTACGCAACGTCCACAGAGTGACGCTTGAGGACAGGTCAAAGTCAAACGAGGCCAACCCACCTGGGCCCGTCGCAGAGGTCCTGCGCTCTCTAACGTCGGTGGAGCACCTCGTGTTGAACTTCAAGACGGACTTCCAAAGCGTGCTCGAGAGCTGGCCAGCATCAACGGTGCCTCGCCTTCAGTACCTCTCCATCTCAGCAAAAGACCAAGAAGACTCACGTGGCTTTCGGTCATCCATGACACAGGCTTTTAGAGCCTGGCGTCCCAGTCTCAACTTAAAGTTTCTGTAACTGCTTTGATCTCGAAACACATAATTGTCTCCACTTGTCTTCATAGGTTTATTAAATAAATGAAACCAATTTTTGAAAAGTTTATTTTATGCACACGTCAGTCCTTACCGATACGGTGTTTAAAGTGCGGAGAGTTTTGAGCAGCCATGATGCGGATCGATTTTAGTTCGCTTTCTCTGAATTTCGTAAACAGAGGGTTTGGTGTCCATATCTCGTGGATGATTTCCTTTGTAACGTACGGTTTCGAAAACCTGTGTATTCCGGACAAAACGTCTGTTACAAACTAATTTCCATCCGTATTTCCCACTTTAAGGAAATTTAGTAGAAACGTTACTTTGGTTCTCGTAAGATTTTGTTCGCTGCTCAGATCTGTGGGGGGAAAATCAGGGAGACTCATCCCTAGTACTAGAGTGGGCGTTTTATCTTCAAAAGTTGTTAAGAAAAAAAAATTCAAAAAGAATTACCTACAAAGTTTATTCAAAAATTGTTTTAAATTTATTCTTGAAAACTGTTGCAGATATAAAGCCTGTTCTAGTCGATACTATGACACAACAAGGGATGAGTCTCCCTGATTTCCCCCCCCCAGTTCTGAGTAAGTATGCAAACGAAATCTTACAAGAACCAAATTTTTAAACGTTTCTACGAAATTTCCAAAAGATGTCAAAAGTCACTTTACTTTATGTCAAAATGAAGCTTACTCAATTATCTAGAAGAGTTTTCAAACAGAAATCATGAAAGGCTTGATCCTCCCCCTTCCCCCAACCCCATGTTACGCAGGGCCAGAAACCCCAACCCTCTCTATCAGCGTAACGTTTTGGCGTTATCAGAAGGAGCTGTAAGGTTATTTATGAGCAGTGTAGTACACCCTATAAAAATTTTAGCAATTGACCGAATTGCAATAAGGTTGCGAATTCGGATTCGTCTTTGCAGAACAAACAAAATTGTAAATACATTTCAGCGCAGATGTACAGTTTCCATTGAGAAGTACGGTGGTTTTAACAGTGTGGTTTGTAAGGTTGCGAAGGACTTCCTTTCTAACTGGAAAAGTAATTCTTCGCGATGCAAAGTAGTCGTAGGAGAGTTCAAAATTCCGTGCCGGAGAAAACTTTCCAAGGATTTTCGAGTGTCCATGTTCCTTTTCTTAATCCGAGGCTCTGCTCCGAGAGACCCTCCCGCCAGAGATGGGCAAAGGGGACCTCTCTCACCCCTCTCGGCCAATCACAGACTTCTGGTACAGTCCCATGCGAAGCGGGAAGCCCGAATTCGCCGCACGAGGCTACGCAGGTGTACAATCTGGTGCGACACAGCGCAAGCCTGACTCTCTAGAGAGGCTCTCTAGGGTCAGGGTGCCTTTGTCTCCACGAAACTACCAAGCGCTGCCTTACGCGAAGAAGAAGAACAAAAGTAAGTCCAGACGTTCCCCCACCACCAGATGCGCATGCGCAGAAGCTGTTTTTAGGGCTTACTCTTGTTCTTCATCAGTCTCGTTAGGGCAAAACCTAGTCAAGTGCACAACTTTTTCGCCTGTAGATAATTTCTATCTATTTAGTATAGAATGTGAAATAGAAATTTATAAAAATGTTATAAATCCGCAATGAAGTGGCTTTAACACGAAAGTGATTTAAAAAAATTGCTGAGTATTTTCAGTCGGTTTTTCAGTGGTAACAGTTGTGCACTTGACTCGACCCTTTAGGTATTAAACCACTTTGATCGACGTCGGCCTTGTCACCGATGTTTTAGAAATGGCGGGCTCAAGGTGTCACGAATTCGACTTGAGGAAACTGCAGTGCCCTGCCACCTGGGGCAGCGGCCACCAAGCGCTCGTCGGGGCCGAGGACTGCCTGGAGAAGCTGTGCATCGCGGCCACGCCCTGGGCGGGTGTGGTGGAGCGCCTCAAGGTGGCGTGGAGCTTCTGGGAGAACTCGCGTCGCGCCGAGGCGACCGGCCTGCTCGTGGAGTGCTACATGCGCCTGCTGCCCCAGCAGGAGTTGCATCAGAACTGCGATCTCATCAAGGACTACAGGTACACCATCGCCTGACTGACTATTTTAGGCCTTAAAAACAAAATAAGTTCGTTACATCAAAGTGTGTTGAGCAAAGGCTTACAAACAATATATGTACTTCGTAATTTATGAAGCACTTCTTCGTATCGCAGACTAAACAGTTTTTGTGCCTGACATACTTCGTAAGGTTTAAAGCAAGCAGGTATTCAACGATCACCGTGAGAAAAAAGTACAGAAAAAGTACGGAACATGTCTGGTCAATAATTTGCCTGGACCGTCCGTACTTGCCAACTACGGAACTTCCGTACTTTTTTTTCGCACACACCAAATGTTATGTACTTACAATTTTGTACAAGACTTCACATTTTTTTAGTGCACACGAAATTTTTGCTCAATTTTTTGTACGAAAAACTGCACATCATCGCCATTTCAGCACAAAACTGTACAAAACTTTTTACAAATTTGTACGAAAAGTTCGTGTGCATCAAAAACTGTGATGTCTCGTTCAAAATTAGTACAAAAACATTTAATGTGTACTCGTTTACATGGGTTCATGTGGAGCAAGTCCGGACGTTCTGTACTTTCCTCCGTACCTCCGTACTATATCTTTCTGTACCATTTCCGTACAAAAGTAAGGAATTTTTTTACAGTGAATACGACTTGAAAATGTGAAAATTTTGAATGTGAATTTTCTCCCATTTGTTTGAATGCGGTGTGACATTCGTTTGAACGTGACGTCCGTTAATTTCGGATGACACACGCTTACACGTATACACAAAATCGTGCAAGTCACACGTTCAAAATTCTAGGTATACATATACACTGTGAGAAAAAAGTACGGAAAAAGTACGGAACATGTCTGCAGGGCTGGGAAATACCTAGGTAAAAAGTACCTAGGTACTGTACCTAGGTACTTTTTTGGTACCTATAACTGTACCTAGGTACTCAAGTCACAATTGTAACTGTACCTGTACCTAGGTACATTTTGGGCAGTAACTTTACCTAGAACTGCAGGTACTTTTACAGGTACTTTTGGGCGCGAATGTAGGGAAAGACGGGTAATGAGATGCGCTCACAACAGTGCGGGGATAAAGAGAGACACTCAGAGGACTGCCTGTTTTCGGGGAAGAAACAGATATTCGGCCCCCTCCCCTTTTTATGTGCCTCCTTCGGGCTCCATGTGGCAGGTCTGGTCACCGCACGCACTGCCAAGGTGAACGCAGAGGACTTGCACTATGAAACAATGGACACATCTCAGCAGGGATCATAGGGTTTGTCCCTAAAATGCGTTACCGGAACCATCCCATTATAGGAGCGAGGTCAAGGATGGTCCCTGGAGCCGCCGACGATGCGGCGTGACGAATCGGGGTTGTAAACAGCACACACGTTGGCATGAAAAGGGTCATTGACGCAAGAAAGTTTAAAGGGACGTAAAAGTCGCGCGAGGTTTGTTTTGGTTGCGTTCTGGGCGGATGTGTTGAAATATCAAAATATCTGAAAGTACCTGAAAAGTACCTAGGTATTTTGCCAAAGTACCTGTAACTGTACCTAGGTACTGAGCTCGATCAAGTACCTGTAACTGTACCTAGGTACTTTTTTGATCCAGTATCTGTATCTGTACCTAGGTAAAAATATAAAGTATCTGTCCCAGCCCTGCATGTCTGGTCAATAATTTGCCTGGAACGTCCGTACTTGCCAACTACGGAACGTTCCGTACTTTTTTTCCGTACCCATTTACATGGGTTCCTATGGAGTAAGTACGGAACTTTCCGTACTTTTCTCCGTACCTCCGTACCATATTTTTCTGTACCATTTCCGTACAAAAGTACGGAATTTTTTACAGTGTAGTGTGTGCTTAACTCTGCCGCAGTGCGAATTTTCGCGTTTGCTATCAGCTCTCTCTGTCCTTGTCGCGCAGGCGTGCGCTGCGGCTGGTGCTGGACTCGACGTGGGCGTCGATGCGGGCCGCTGTCGTCTCCGACAAGACGGACGCGGACTACTTGAGGAGGTTCATCGCGGCCGTGGAGCCTGCGAGCCAGCTGGACAACAAGCAGCTTTCCGCCGTGTACGCGCTGCGGGGCCGCCTCACCACAATACGCGGTGCGTCAATTTTCCGTTGTCGTGTTTAACAATTACGTTACGTAATTTTTGCACATTTATTTATCCCCCCCTTTCCCCCTTTTCCACCGTGTAACGCGGAGTTGCGCCTGGCCAGGACCTCTCTCACAGCGTCACGTCGGTCAAAATTTCTCAGCTTAACAGTGTACACTCTAAATGTTAATGTTCAATTTTGTACGTGCTGATGCATACTTTCGAACTTATTGTGTGACGTTTTGCTTAAGATTGTGCTCAAATATGCATTAATTGATTCATTTTACGCATATCATTGTGAAAATTCTTCGTACGCACGAAAATCGTGCAAGTTACACGTATGAGATTCCACATAAACATTTAGTGTGTATTTTTACCCTTATTTTTTGTTTGTACGTGTTAAAATTTGAGACGTACAAAAATTTATGTGTCTTATAATTTAATGTGTTTGACGTAGCGTTACACTGGCTGGAAAAATAAATTGGAGTGGAAGCATTTGAAGTGCTGATTCGATTATTCAAACCACTCGATATTGAATCTTCCAGTTCCCTGTACGAATTGAATCAAATCACACTGCAGGAAATAACCGCAACAAAAGTACACAAATTTCTGGCCAATTTTTTATCAGGAATTTAGTGTACTTACTTATCAAGTACAACAATTGTTGCACAATGGAACCGTCATGACGAGTGCTGCGCAGTCCAGGGCTCGTTGTGTTTTGTTCAATCCTCGTTGTACTTTCTACCATCCCTGTTGTACTTTTATTGTACAGTTTTTGTTGTACTATCCACACTTCGTCTTGCAGTGCAGGGCCGATTACGATTACTACGAATACTTCGCACAGTCCTGTAAGTTCTCCTTGTTTGTGTTCAGAGGAGTCGAAGTGGTTCCGGAAAGCGATCGCTCTGAATCCCGAGGAGGGCGAGTGGCGCCATCTGCTCGGCTGGGTCATCCAGGAAGGCCGGAAGTGCCGAGGGACGCCGTCCAGTGAGGAAGTAAGTTGCACAGTGGGCCAGAAGACCGGCGGAGGCGGTCTAAATTCCGGACGCGTTTTGATGTCCAGAATCGCTTAATAATGGGGACTCGAACCGAACGGGTGACCCTACCAATGGATTGCTCTCCGAACGAGGAATCCATAAGTGGGGTCTCACGTTCTGGTTGAGTACTGTCGAGCGACTCTGGAGCTCATAACACGTCCAGAGTTTCGGCCGCCGGCGTCGGTCCTCTGGCCCACTGTGGTATCATCTTTTTATAATAACTTTCCAACAATAATTGATTGAATTGCCTGGCAACACTGCAGCTCACTACTTCTCTGACTTGGTGACTGCAGCTCACTACTTCTCTGACTTGGTGAAGTTTCAAATCCATGATCCGAGGTCGTTATCTCAGATGGCGTGTCCCAACATGTGTTCTTGCACGGACAAGGCACCTTGTCGGGATCAATCACCCAATTCCTTTTTATCACTTTATTGTTTTTGTTGTTGACGTAGCCTGTTGTTTTCAGATGAAATTGCTTCGAGATGCGTACCGTCTGCGGAAGCACCCGGACACAGTGCTGCGACTCGCGAGGTCCCTCACTGACTGTGGCCCGAAATCATTTCCGGAGGCCAGGACCCTGGTTGCTGAAGCGTTGCAGCTGTACCCAGACCATCCACGTGTCCTCTCGAACGTAAGTACACTGTGAAACCACGTGGAAATGTGGAGGAGTGGAAATTTTCAGTCCCCACACTTGTAAGTGCAGAGTTTGTCATTCTGCAGTGTGGAGACTGCAAACTTCACACTCCAAGTCGTGCACTGAGAAAACCTTACGAACTATTTAAGGCCTTATAAAGGAAAGCAGCTTTTTAACAAAGTATGAGCGTACATAAGCTTTCAAAGAAAATTTTGTAATTTACGAACTATTTCTTCATGTAACATAGTAAATTAGTTTATGTATACGCGTGGAGAACCACTCCACTTAGTTTTACAGTGCATGGCAGAGACTGCTACACTCTGAATACCTTACAGACTATTTTGGGCTTCACAATCAAAAGTAGCTTGTAGTAAAGTATTTTGAGCGTGCAGAAGCTTGCTCAGAAAATAAGTAGTAACCGACGAATGAATTCTTCGTATAACGAACTCAAATTAGTTTGTTCTTTACATGTGCTCAAAATACTTCCTAAGGTTATAAGCGTGTTGATCGCGTCAATATACACACTTATCATCTTACGATGGTAACGCGAACGTAACATACGCTGAAATCAAAACATGCGTATTACGCTGAAATGTCATCGTACTACAATCGCAACCAACGTACCTTACGTTGACAACGTGCGTAATACGTTGAAAACTTGCGTATTACGTTGAAAATCCTGCGTACCTTACGTTGACATTCGTGCGTATTATGCAGGTTGGAAATTGGTCGTACCTTACGATGGAAAATCATCGTATTACGCACGAAAACCAACGTAAGATGATGAGCGTGTAGAGCGAAAACTTCAAAAGTAACCTGTAATTGTCCTTACTGATTTGATTGCAGGTCGCCAACATCCTCATCCGACTGGAGGGACTGACCTCCGCCGGGCTGCGCCAGATACGCTCCCTCTACCAGCGAACTCAGGATGTCGTGGGGGAGCGGGCCTTCATCCAGATGAAGCTCGCCACCGTGTGCTTGTCGACCGGAGAGAAGGCGCAAGCTCAAAAGCACTTCGACACTGCCATGCGTCTCAACCCCAGCGCTTGTGCGCAGTTTGCTGTCACGTACGGACACCTCATGAGCTGAGGACGGACTCGCGCCTCCGAGTGGCGATTCCCTTCGCTTTGCCTAATGAAATCTTTGTATTGATTCTTGAATCATTGTCCTTGGAGTAATAAAGTGAAGAATGATGTGGAAACGGCGCACCCTATTAATTTTACCTTGTTTCGGCTGCCTTAGACTAGGGCGACTAGGGTCGAACTCTTACTTTCCTCAAAACAATAAAAAATAGAAACTTTGTGTTTTCAAAGTGTGTTTTTGGGAGGTGTGTTTGGCCCTCGTTTAGAATGATGACCTCAACTTTTCTGGCGATCTCTTTGCGGCATCCTGATGATGCACTCTTTAAGGAAAGACGAGAACTGAGGGAACCAGAGATCCTTAACTGAACATTTAATTAAGACTTCTTTCATAACGTAACACAAGACAATTTTCGCTGAAGGTGAAGGTAACACTCTCATTGCAAGTACGTGACGTCATGTTGAAACGAACGTGACTAAGTGTGAACGTGACTAAGTGTCACGTTCGTTTGGATGTGAATCGGCGAAAAATTAGCTTGTTCACGTTTAAACGAATGCGACACAATGCTCAAACGAACATGACATTTTGTCACGTTCGTTTCAACGTGATGTCACGTACTTGGATTGAGAGGGTATGGACTACTTCCAAATACAAATTCGAGAAGCTAGGAAAATAACTTACCGTTTTAGAAAGATGTCTTTAACGCTTACGATAACGTTGTCATGCCCTTCGGAGTTAAGTTAAGGATCCGGAAGGAAACCCTTTGCACGTGTGTCGTATGCTGTGCGTTCGTCAATTAGAGGCATCGTGACCACGAGTTCGAAGAGTGAGCGTTCCTAGCGACCGCCACATATCGACCTGCCCTACTGGACTGCGACTGCTGATCCCGGCACCCACAGCGGAAGTGAGAAGCCGCTTTGAGGCGATTGAAAAACGTGAAATCTTAAGATTCTTTCATTTTTATTCCGTTTGTGTTCGTGGTGTAATCAGAGAGTGTACAATCCCTTTTGAATCATTCGTTTGAAAGTTCCCTGTAGATCTTCGGCTAGGCAGCAGGAATCATCTGCGAGAGTGGCGGAGCTACAGCGCCTTTGTTTGCGCTGGAACTGCGATACGGAAAAGAACGTTGTCTGCGTCGGTGGCGAACTTCTCCACCAGTCTGAAGTGCCCCGTCAGCACGGATATGAGCTGTAATCATAATAATGTCATGAAGTGCAATGCCTTCCCATTCCCATGCGTTTGCGGGACTTCGCAAATTGATGTGCAATCCCCCCATAGCAATACAGTACAGCGCGTTGCGTCCCGCAATAAGTTACAGATCGAGGGGACTCTCAGAGTCGCTAAACAGGACTCGAACCGAACGTGTGGCCCTACCAATGGATTCCTCGCTCGGCGAGCAATCCATTGGTGGGGTCAGACGTTTAGTTCGAGTTCCATTTAGCGACTATAGCGCTCAAGGCGTGTCAGGGATTTTGGACGCCTCCACCAGAGTCTTCTAGCCCACTGTGCCTCGTCCGAAGTGACACCAAACGGTTAAGACGACACTGGTGAAACAAAGGCAGTTAAATTATGCCCTTGAAGGGCGTAAACGATTTACGCCCCTGAAGGGCATAATTCGTTAATGCCTTAGGGAGGGGCATTAAAATTTTGCTTGAGGCATAAAACTATTTATGCCCTTGGGAAGGGCGTAAAAGAGTACTTATGCCCTTAAGGGCATAATTTTTATGCCTTCGTTTTACCAGTGGAGCCTCTAAAACGAACCTTCTTTTGGTTGTTGACGAGGTGAAGCAGCATTCTGCCAGCCGACTCCCTCACATTCTTGCGCACAGTCGCATTCTTGGCCACCTGGCTCGAGATGGTCTGGAATGCCCGACGGAAGGTGGCCCTAGTGCCGGCGTTCATGCTCAAGTACCGGCTCTCGAGCTTCACGAACAGGGTCTGCTTGACCTTGCGCAGTGCCAGGATGGCATCCTCATCTCCAGCGTCCTTACTCTGCAAGGGTTCATCAGTTGAGTGCCATCGCCCTTGGACACTGTTATTCAACAAATCACTGGTGCACCCTTAAAACCTTTCTGCTCGTTGTACTACAAATAAAACGAAGGCTTCGCAGCCCACGAAGGAAATCGTTTGCAATACGAACGATTTTGTTTGTAATACAAAGGAAAATCCTTCGCAGGCTGGTTCTTCGTAGGCTACAAAGGATTTTTTCCCTTGTATTACAAAATCGTTCGTAGTACAAACGATTTCCTTCGTAGACTGCGACGCCTTCGTTTTCTTTGTAACTTTATCACAAGGAGCAGTTCTTTGTAGGGTTCTGAGAGTGCAACCATGAAACAAATATTCGCTTCACGAATAAATAATCCATTGTTGTGGTGATCAATTCTCACCCCGGGCTTGAGCCTCTCGTTGATGAGGCTCGTGTAATTTGCGACCAGTCCGGCGACCGCGGCCGCCTCAGCGTTCTTGAAGGAGCCGTCGGAATCGAACCTCGTCGCGGTGAGCTTCCTCAGCAGCGCGATGGCATCATCCACGGCCTTCTTGGAGGCGGCCTCGGTGTACGCAGCGGCTTCGCGTTTGACGGCAGCCTCGAAGCTCGCTTTCATCACAGGGCTCAGGTCCGCCCACTGCTTCAGCAGGACGCCAGGGAGGGCCTGCCCGACCTTCTCCACGGCGGCCGCGGATGCTTGGAGGGACTGCTCCTGCAAGCGGAACATCCCAGCTCAGAGAGCGAGAGCCAGGATTCAGGCGCTCGGATTCAGGGGGGAAAGGGCGCCTGAAAGTTATGCAAAAAGTCGCACATTGGCCCATAGGTAGGCAACTTTCGCGACTTGTCCCGGCCACGGGTCTGCCCGTTTGTTCCGACAAAGTCAAGTGCTACTATTTCACCCAGTTTATCTCGTTGAAATTGTAAGCGCCTGCAGGCGTTTCTTAGTCTAGATGGGTGAGCAATAATCTGTTACAAACACGAGCCGAAAGACAAAAAAGCACGATTACTTCAAATTTTATAAACTCTGTAACAAACTGCACGCTTTAAACCGCACGAAGTATTTTGAGCATACATAATATAAACTTAGTTACTTAGTGCTATACCAAGAATAGTTCGTAAATTACGAAGTATTTCTTTTTGTAAGCTTATATATGCTCAAATTCTTTGTTGTAACAAGCTGCTTTTCTTTGTAATGCCTAAAATATTTAAGGTTCAGCGTGTGCCTCATCCCCCTAAACGCGTTTCTAGAGCGCATCACGCCTTCGTGTTACCTAGTGGAAGCCACGTACTCACCCCAGCAACAGGCTCACTGGACGACGTTGAAACATCGTAGCAATTTGCGTTCATTGGTTTGGCAAACACTTTGTCATAAGCGGAGCGAGTTCCTGGCATGAGAATAGCCGCTGACATCACTGATGAAATTCATGATCAATTGAATTTTGGGTGGACCAATTTACTACTTTCATGTTGTGAATCGAGAAATTTTCCGTTCAATTTTGAGAGTTTCACCACCCACCCACATTTGGTATAAACAGAGTCATGGGAGATCGCTACACCTTTCACCAAATTGGGGAGACTTTTGCAAATTGTCAAACTCGCTCTGAATTGTAGAAGTGATCCCCAAAATCTGCTATTATCTGACTTGCATTCCGTGACTAGCGGAGCAGACCAAGGGCAAAACAAGGAGGACTGTCAGAGACCACATGCAGAAGTTCTGTATGCGTTCCTTTGGGTTGGAACTTTCCAAACTTTCGTCATGGCAAGCATTAAATGTCGTGAGCCTCGGGCCTTGCACCCGTCCCTGCCAGCTCGCTTGATGGCCGAAGTAGCTTTCTCAGTAGGACTGCAATTTGCTGACTTTGCATGGTGGGGTGAATACTTTTCCCAAATAGCCAACAGTGAGAGCGGCTAAATAGAGGCTACAAACTTAGTTACTTTGCTATACCAAGAATAGATCGTAAATTACGAAGTTTTTTTCTTTGTAAGCTTATACTATATGCTCAAATTCTTTGTTGTAACAAGCTGCTTTTCTTTGTAATGCCTAAAATATTTTTTAAGGTTTTCAGCGTGTGCCTCATCCCCCTTCAACGCGTTTCTTCAAGCGCATCACGCCTTAGTGTTACCTGAGTGGAAGTCCACTGAACATACCTCACCCGGAGCAGAGCCAACGAGGCTGGCAACAAGGAGGACTGTCAGAGACCACATCGTAGGAAGTTCTGTAATGCGTTCCTTTGGCTTTGGATACTTATAACACTTTCGTCATGGCGAGCGAGCGACTGTGTCGTGAGCACTCAGGCCGTGCACCTGTCCACTGCCCACTCGCTTCATGAGAACGAAGTAGCTTTCTCAGTAGGACTGCAATTTGCTGACTTTGCATGTTGTGAATCGTGAATTCGCCGTTCAATTTTCAGACGTACACACACGCGCACTCAGCAACAAAAGAGTGAAAACAGAGATCGAGTGGGTAAATCGGCGCGTGACACCGTTTACACACATAATTGTAGTACCATTTTTGGGTCAAATGTGTCAAATTTTGGCATTTTAATGCCGTCATAAACGTGTGATATCCCCGTAATACTGCGTAATCGAGTACTCTGTACATGAATTCTTGAAGTGTTAACCCCCTCGACAGAGACGATTCAGATTTGATTTTTATCAAAAAGCGTCGTACGGGTTTTGGTATGATTGCTCTTTCTTCGTCTTTTTTTCTCGTCTTTCGATTTTGACCGTCATTTAGTTTTTAACATTCATGATGTACTCTCAATTTTTCGTTTGTAATATTACTAATCGATAGAAGATTTCTCCCTTGGAGCGCTTTTGCCACTTTGGAGGTTTAACTGTTTTGCAGGAGTCAAGCTCCGAAAGTGATGGACCAGACTTCGAAACCCACTGCAAAAAATTCCGTGGTTTGGTACGGAAAATGTACGGACCTTCCGTACTGGTTCTCTGTGGTCTCCATAAGGATATCATGTAAACTGGCACGGAAAACATGTAAAGAACTTTCCGTGGTTGGCAAGGTGCGGACGGTCCAGGTAAAAAATTGACAAGACACGTTCCGTACTTTTTCCGTACTTTTTTCACAGTGCCTCTCAGAACGTATTTGGTACGATCGGTAATATAAATAACCGTTCTTTCAGCTCATAAAGGTACTCAGAAGGAAAGGTAAAATGTAAGTAAATCGGGCGGAACGGTTAAACGTAATTGTAACCATTTGGTAAAGGAAAGTTGGACTTTCAGCCTTAAACTGTGTATCCCCGAAACTTCTTACCGGTACTCTACATGAATTTGATTGTTCCCCTAACAAAGATCAATTGAATTATTTAAACTCTCCAGGAATGCGGCGCGTTGCTCAAAGGAACGCGACATTTTGAAACATTCGTTTTAACGTGATGTCACGTTCCTGGAGTGAGAGTGCACGAGCGTACAGTCTTCCAGGTCCTACGGACAAGACTGAACGGTCCTACACTCTACAAAAAATGTCCTCTCAACGCCGTCAATTTATTACCAATGTTTGCTGTTATGCAATTCACGGCGTTTGCTGTGAACTAGTTCACGGCATTCACTGTGATCTCGGTTACAGTGTTCACTGTGATCTGGCCACAGTAAACGCCGTGAATTGGAGCCTGATTTGCAGTACTTCGGTGCTCAGCGGCGTCAAACTCACAGTGTTTACTGGGGACCAGGTCACAGTGAACACTGTAACCGAGATCACAGTGAATGCCGTGAACTAGTTCACAGCAAACGCCGTGAATTGACCTACAGTGAAAACTGGTAATAAATTAACGGCATTTACAGGACATTTTTGTTAGAGTGTACGGAGAGTATTGTACGTCATACGTATGATAACTGCAGGAGCCTACGGAGAATCTTGCCAAAAAAATTAACAGAATTTTACGTACCTTTTTCCCGCATTGTAATTTGGTGTGTTGGCTGCTGGCCTGAACAAGCCCATGTAATCGGTTTCCACGTTAGCGTTTTGACGCTGCTTTTTTCGGGAGTTTCGTGTGGACGCGCGGCCATCAGATTCGAAGCCTGATTTCCAGGGCACGAAAACGATGCACGGAGCGTCGTGCCATTAGCTTCAGAGGGGCCACGTGCGATCGGTGGAAGTTGTGGGCGGAGAGTCATTTAGCCCAAACCGACATGTGCCATACCGAAAGCCATGGCAACATCTGAGAAGAACAAAGTAGTAATACCAATCCTTGTCGTGGCGCAGCTTTTCAGCTCGTACCATCCAGCGCACTGTAAATTCGCGGTGTGCGTCGCCACTTGCATCAGACACATGGCCCGGTTAACAGTGGGCCAGAAGGACTGGTGCCCGAGGGAGAAGACTTAGTCACAGTAGAGGTCATTTTGAGCTAAATCAAAATCATAATGACCCCAAATGGTACCTACTCTACAAACTGAAGTGTGTACTCAGTATGCATCTACAGATGCATACTTATGCATACTAATAAGTACACACCTACAGATGCATACCTAGCTGAGTACACATCTACAGATGCATACTTGGCTGAGTACACATCTAATGCATGCATCTGTAGATGTGTACTTGATACTGGGCATTTATATGGTGGCAAAGTACACACCTACTAATGCTTACTTGCCACGTATGCACCTACAGATAGATGCATACTTAACAGGCATGCATCTGTAGATGTGTACTCAGCTAGGTATGCATCTGTGGGTGTGTACTTATAAGTATGCATCTGTAGATGCATACTCAGTACACACTTGAGTTTGAAGAGTAGCTGTGACCTTTTCTCTCATTTTGAGCTCGTAGTGACATCAAGTTTGCTTTCCTGTACTCCTTTGGGTAGAGGCGGTCAATATTCCGGACGCGATTTGAGCTCCAGAGTCGCTAAATGGGACTTGAACCGAACGTGTGACCACACCAATGGATTGGTCTCCGAACGAGGAATTCATTGGTGGGGTCACAGGCTCGGTTCGAGTCTTGGCGACTCGTGAGCTCGAAAGGCGTCTGGAATTTTGGCCGCGGGCGCCGGTCTTCTGGCCCACTGTGCGTGACAAGCTGTTCTGTTATTTAATTTCTTGTCTCTAGCAGGGTCCGTATTACCTGACTGTGGTTTCGGGAGGCCTATGTTCCAAAGAGGAGGTCGGTATTACTGGAGACGATATTGTTCTTCCTCTGAGGTTTCACCACCGCCGAGGCTGCAAAGACAGTCTTGTCACAGGAAACATGACTTTAAAAAATGGGATAGGGATGCCAGGAAATACATCGGTAGGCACGACTACTGTCACGGAATAATAACTCGCTCTATCCGAATTAAAAACAAACCCTTGACATTCGGTACTGGTGGTACGCTGCCAAACTTACCGTAAGGTCAAATGGGGGTAGTTTTGTGACGCACTCTCAGACTGTTATTGACTTTTTGTCCTTTATTAAAGAGAATCTTACACAGCAATAAAAGTACCATTTCCGCAATATCCATGTAAGATTTCGTTCGTTATATTGACTTCAAGTCAATTTGCTACCATTGACAAAGAGCCAATACGCAATTGACTTCACAAATAGTCAATAATTGATGACTATTTAGTCTTCATAGGGAACAGTATTGTACATGGTTACAAAGTAAATACTACATATTATTGCTGCTTACAAAACTACGTAAGCAAAGGACAAAAAGCAATAATGGAGAGAAAAAAGTCAATACGAGTCTGAGAGTGCAGTCTAAAAGTAGAACAGCTGTTTCCTGGACACTGTTGATTGTTTAGACCTTTTGCCGTAACAAACATTTTCACGACTAAAACACCCTATTTGGTGTAGCATGAGTATCAGTAACCAGGTACTTATTGCCTACAACAATAATATGCAACAATTTCCTCTTAGATGCGCACAGTTTACATTAGGAAATTTTTTTGTCAATGAGTACCAAGAAATATGTAAATAATGATTACAAAAGCGAAAAGTACGTATTATTGTTGCACAAGTTACTAGAGATGCTACGGACAAAATGTCAATACCATGTACTGATAGTCAATAGCGAGTATGCGAGTTTTCCAAAGTGTCGAATCTTGTCCTGGAAACAGCTGTTCTACTCTCAACCAGTGTCCCAAAATTACCCCAATTTTTTTTTTATTTCTTTTTTGTTTTCGCGTTTGCTAGCGTTTTGCAGGCAGAATGTCCTGAGTAATGCTCTTGCACCTACGCATCCGAAAGAGCATGGTTGTCGAGGTGCAAATGTTTGCCTCAATGAAAAGAACTCATTTCTGTTCCCTGTTCACGGCGCTCAAATGGCTGCAAACCATTGAACGACACGTTTTTAATGCATCGACGATATTTCAGCTGTTGTTCCTCTTCGCGAAGTGGGACTCCGTGTCTGGCTGGAGGGAAAATTACTTCCAAGTGAATCTTGGGGAACTCTGCTACATAATGGCCACGTACGTTGTGGCATTCAAAGATCTTATACGAAAGCACAGCCCTGCCATTCCTTACAAGTGCCCCATCCGCGACGTAAGTAAAACTATTAGTTTTATTATGATTTTTTTAGGGGGTGGAGGCTTTTCACATTATTTACTGGTTTTTTAAATTGTTCTGATGACAGTTTTGTCCGTACCTCGTAAATTGGCCATCAGCCAACATTTTCAAAGAAACATAAGACAATACGTTGTTATCATTGTTCCCAGTTTCATAACAAGAAGCTAAAGGAAAAACTACACTTGGCTATGGGCATCTGCTTAGAACTGAACCAAAACGCCGTTTGCTGGTTTCTTTCATCTACGAAAAGTCCGAGCCGAAAACCCCTCGGGAGCGCATTGTGACCACGAATCTTGGTTTGGCGAGGGTTCAAGGCCCTCAAAAGTAAGCGTTTTCGAGGATTCAACAAAGTTGGCTCTTTGCCAACTTGAGGCCTAGCGAAACAAAACGTCATTCGGAAGAGCGCACTTTATCTTATTTTGTCACTCATTTGGGTATACTTTCGTAGGTTCCCCGATCGCATAAGTCCAAAACCCTTTACAACGCGACTTCACTGAGAATGTAATGGCAGTCACACCATACCTTGTAAATGGGCGATGCAGCTTCCAAGTTGTCCAATTTTGGGTGCACGAAAATTCATTACCCAAACATTGGGTTACAGGCGTTTGGCGCCCAGAATTCTGGGTAACGCCCGCATCGACGAGCATTGTCGTGAAAGGTCCTCGCAGACTGACGTCCTTCCGGGCTCAAACGATGACCGGAGGACCTAAATGCCGACATTGGGTCATGTGTGTGCCCCGAAGAAGATGGGACATCACGTGCGTCGTGGAGGCGTTACCCAAATCTTGGGCGACGTCTCTATGACTGGCCCAGATATTGTGGTCACCGCTGGCTCAGTCACCCAAATTTTGTGCCGATCGCTGCGTTACCCAATAAATTTAGGGCGAGTGGAGGACTCTTTCATTCTCACTGGGTTTCAGCTTTTGTTCATGACGCCGCTACCTCGCTGACTACCATCAGAAGTTCGCTAGAAGACACCCCGCTCCCACGGATTTTCGGCAGTTGACTCTTAGAAAGGTGCTTCGCAGTACGAAGTATTCTCCGGCTTAGTATTACGAGCTCCCTTGCGAACCTTTTTCTTCGCATTGCAAAGAAATAGTTCGTTAATTGCGAAGAAAGACCTTTGCAACGTTGCGAAGCATTGGTTAGTAACGTTGCAAAGCATTTTCTTTGCAAGTTGCTGCAAAGTAATACTCGGCATTGCAAAGAAAATTGCTCGTAAGAGAGTTCGCAAAGATGCCGAAGAATACTCCGCAATGATTTTTTAGTGTCCGTATTCCCGAAAGAAACCACAATCCCAGTTTGATTCTGTTCTGGGCAGGACGCCCTGCCAAGCGATTATTCTTTGTCAGGGTCCTCTCATCATGGTTTCGTCTTCGCTCTTGTCGGGCCCGCGGGCCCTCCGCAGAACACTTACCCATTCAACGAAGTGCCTACTCGCTTCGACACGCACCCAGGCTTCCCCGCCCTCCCCTACGGCCGTTTCCGAGTCCGACAGATGGCGTACAACTTGAGGACACGCTCAAAGACGCCGCGTGGATGTCTCCGTTGGGTGCTGGACATCAGCGAGAAAGTCACTCGGCCGTAACAGAATGGACATCGCACAGTGGGCCAGAAGACCTGCGGAGGCGGTCGAAACTCGAGACGCGTTTTGAGCTCCACAGTCGCTAAATGGGACTCGAACCGAACGTGTGACCCCACCAACGGATTGGTCTCCGAACGAGGAATCTATTGGTGGGGTCACTTGTTACGCACGAGTTCCATTTAGCGACTCTGGAGCTCAAAACGCGTCCGGGATTTTGGCCGCCTCCACCGGTCTTCTGGCTCACTGTGCTCACTGTGCATAATCGTTCACTTCGTCGCCACACCGGAAAGGGCTAACTTCTGTTCATTAATATTAATAAAACTCTTTAACTGTAGACATCGGCGACAATGAGGCGCGCTGCGTGGCTCGGCTCATGTTGGTCGTACTGGAGGGTTGGCTCTTGACGTGTGTGGACGGACCAGGCTCGGACTGGCCCCCAAAAGGCCCCGGCGGAAAAGGCCGCAAAAGGCCCCCGATCATCATATGAATGTTTCTACCCCCCCCCGGAATTTTTGGTGCGTTAAAATGGGTATTGAACTTCAGAGAGACACACTTCGTTTAAAATATTGAAAATATTTTCATGCAGACATCTTAGAGAAGTAACCTGGTCAATTCAGCAGAAGTTGCAGAATAATTACATCTTTGTCAATCAAAATTGCTACATGATTTTCAACATTTATAAATATGAGTGGTTCAAACAATTCTTGAGATACGTAGCAAACTCCTTAACCTAGTTTTAATTAGCTTAACTTTAGTCGATAACTTTGTTTGTTCTTATATTCTAGTATTGTACTGAGGTGTATGTAGAACATTTAATATCGATAGTTCGGTTCCTTGGTCCGCACCCAGTCTGTGGGGCCCCGACCGGCCGAGGGCCCCGGCAGATTTTTCTGCCTATCTGCCCTGGCCAGTCCGAGCCTGGGACGGACGTCTGCCAGAGGCACAAATAATTCGACAGCGGAACAGCGTTGATGATGGTCATGCTATTTGGAAGTGACAGTAGAAGTGTCGATACCAATCGGCAACTTTTACCCGCGCCGTACATTTCAAATACGCGCGAAATTTTTGTTCGCATTTTCCCCGACGGGATTTGAACCTCGGGGTCAAAACGGCTACCATTTTCGCTACCCACGCCCTTCAAAACAATGTCAAACCCAGAACGAAATGAAATGAAATTAAATGACCTTGGACTACCGCTGAATCTTTCCGTCGATTGGAAAGCGTACTCCTTTAAACAGTTCTTCAGGAAATGACGCAGTTGGGTCAAGAAAGATGTTGAGAGGGGTGGACGTTTTAGGCTGACATGACTCATAATAAAATTCTTCAAAATTGTTTTGATTGACAAAAATTTTAGATCTTAATTTACAATGCGAGTTACAATGCTTGCAATTATGTCCACTAATGCGAGGAAAAGAAGAATAAAATCTACTCTTGATAGGTTTGAAAAAATTCATTTCAATTCTTAAAATGAAAATACACGGACTTTGACAACATTGTTACATGCGACAGAGACAGAGGCCTTTCCACTCACAGTCTCTATGGATCTACCTGCCACCGAAAGGATCATTAATCAGAGATCGCTTCGGCTCATCTTCGTCTCGGTTGAAGTGGTATCGACAAAGCTCCTTGTTCACCTCCAGCACGGCCTCCCTATCCTTCCAAAATGACGGATCCATAATCTGAAACAAAGTTCAAATGGAAACTTGAGACTTTTCCTCGGCGTTATCGATAATAAGGTTCTCACGACAGGGTGCTCGGAAAAACGGTGCTTTTATTTCTACAGAGATGAAACTACACTGCAAGAAAAAGTATGGATAGTACAACAATAGTACAACAAAAACTGTATAATAAAAGTACAACAGGGATTGTAGAAAATACAACGAGAATTGTACAAACCACAACGAGCCCTGGACTGTATAGCACTCGTCATGCCGGTTCCATTGTACTTTGTACAACAATTGCTGTACTTGAAAAGTACACTAAATTCCTGATAAAAAATTTGCCAGAAATTTGTGTACTTTTGTTGTGGTTATTTCCTGCAGTGTAAGAACTACTAATTATCATATTCAAGTTAATTATTCATTCGGTTTCCAATCACATGAACAGAAAAGGGGTACGCGTCCGTCAGGATATAACCTCGCACTGTTTTAGAATATAGATATTTCATCATGGATTCCCACTGAAAAACGTAATGGTCGGACACGTGGCCAAATTATGGCGTGACAAAAAGTCACGCCAAAAATTGGCGGGACACGAAACTCACGCCGATGAACGGCGTGACATGTGAGTCACGCCCTTATTTGGCCTGAATGACAACGCGTTTTATGAGAAAAGTTACGCCAAAAAGCGTCAAAAAGCGTCATATCAAGAAATTCACACCAAAAATTGGCGTGAATTTTTGAGTCACGCCGATCTTTGGCGTGACTTTTCTATCATGCCGCTTATTGGCGTGACACTTAATTCACGCCCCTGCAGCGGCACGAAGTCACGCCGATAGATGATTTTCAAAGCCGGCTGGATTCCTCGTTCGAAGAGCAATCCACAGTTGGGGTCACACGTTCGGTTTGAGTCCCATTTAGCGACTCAAGAATTCAAAACGCGTCCGCGATTTCGACCGCCTCCACCGGTCTTCTGGCCCACTGAGGTGTGGTGATCTTTGGGCTAAGTGACACTCACCTCGGGGCACACATCTTTGAAATCTCCCAAGGCGGTGAGTAGGATGTCGCTGCAATATAGCCGCACGCGTCCAAGGACAAGCCGCCGCAGCTCGAGCAGCGCCATGATACGCGCCTCGCTGGTTCCGGGGAGCAGTCGGTCCATGGCTCGTAGCAGGTCGCGGATGACCACCTCCCAAGTGTCGATTTCAGCTGCAATAATTTGAAGGAATCACATTTTAGCCTTTTTATCGTTTCTCATTTTATGAAACCAATTATCATATCAGATATGTCCGTGCTCTACATATCGAAGAGCGTGCATTGTATGCTCTAACTGGAGCATGCCTGCAAGCACGCTCTAGCTAGCGCATGCCTGCCAAGCATGCACTTACTAGTGCATTCATGCCATGTACACGATAACTGAAGCATGCATCTAGTGCATGAGGGGAGGGATTGGGAGTTGCCTGCATCAGGAAGCGTGTTTACGCACTGGCATGTATGCACTAGTAAGTGCATGCTTGGCAGGCATGCGCTAGCTAGAGCGTGCTTGCAGGCATGCTCCAGTTAGAGCATACAATGTACACTCTTCGATTTGTAGAGTGAGACCTCAACTTACACTCGGAAGCGTATTCGTCGGCTCTGTTCTCGTAGATGTAGGCCCTGATGTAATCTTTGGCGCGCAGCACGAGTCCATGCGTGGGGTGCAGCGGGCCTCGAGGGTGCAGCTGACTAGCGATGAACTTGAGTAACTTGTCCGGTGGAGATCCTGTCCAAAGAGTTCATTAGCAATCGCACTAACCAATAATGTTACGCGGGTACACTGGTAAAACTAAGGCGTACTATTACGCCCTTCGTGACGCGTACAGCCAGTACGTCCTTCTTCAAGCGTACAAGAGTTCATGCGCTCCTTTCTTCCTATCTAAGTGCGTGGGGGAATTGCCTTGAAGCGTAGTTGTACGCTTCAAGAAGGGCGTACAGTCTTGAAGCGTGGTTGTACGCTTGAATGAAGCGTACAACTACGCTTTAGTTTTACCAGTGTAGACCAGACTTAGAACTGATCCGACCGAGCACGCTCTGCAAACTCAAGTGTGTGCCAGGCATGCACTTCTTGGTGCATGCCTGCAGGCACTCACTTCTTGGTGCATGCCTGCAGGCACACACTTACCGTCGCTAATGCATGCATACAAGCAAGTGTGTGCCTCAGGCATGCAGCAAAGAAGTGTGTGCCTGCAGCTATGCACCACCAAGCAAGAAGTGCATGCCTGGCACACCCTTGAGTTTGCAGAGCGGCAACAACGGTTCCTGGTTTTTCACAGGTACCCTGAAGTAAGGACATGGCGCTGGTCAGGGAAGTACCTGCGAAAGCCAGGAACCGTTTTTGACGTGCGGAAACCTTTGCCCGACCTTACAGAGATGAAAAGACCGGACTGCGAAAGAATTGCGTTCCACTGAGGAACTTTCGTTCACTAATGAACTTTCACATGTAACTAGATTTTGGACTTTCTGTGGTCGGGTGGTTGGAGGTACGTTTTATGGTCTCACTCTCAGCCTCTGACTTTACCGTAAGTAACCAGATACTGTTGCCTGCAACAATAATGTGTGGTGCACTGTTAAAAATCCACTGTAATATTACAACACAATCACCTACAGCAATGCTGTTTAATAACAACAGTCTTGTTTTGTGTATAAACGGGAAACCCATCCAGAAACAACACTTTCGTTTCAAAACGACTTCCTTGTCAAGTAACAATAATGTTATCGTGATTCAAAACAGTTGTGTTGTCGTTGAACAGGTTTCATGTTTAGAAACAGCCTTTTGCAATCTTAAAACGTATGTTGTTGTCTGGTTACAGGGGTCTTGTTTAATAACAACACGATGAGATCAACACAAATGTAGCGAAGACTTCATCCAAGACTCCAAAGAAATATTGTTTTAAAACAATCGAACTGTCAGAAAACAGCACCGAGGGCTACAACATGCTTGTATTAAAACAAGTCGTGCTGCTATCAAACTTAACAGCATAAGTGCTGTTAATTTACAGCACTTTTTTTAACAGTGTGATTTCTTCTTAGATACGTACAATTTACTGCATAAAATAATTTGGGATTTTTTTTGTGAATAAGTTCTAACAAAAATGTAAATAAAAACTACATAAGGGAAAGGAACGTATCACTGTTGCATAGATTACCAAAGGTGCTACGCACAAAACGTCAATATCACGTTCTATAAGTCAATGGCGAGTCTGGGAGTGCACGGAAAACATTGATCACGGAGACTTTTCGAAGAAAATATCTAGACCATTTGTCGAATCTACAGTTGCACCAATGTGGTAAGAAAGGAGTGTGCATTGGAACACTGTGGACAAGATTCCAGAGAGCGCATTTCCTGAAAGTTTCTCATGACTCTATACTCACCATGAAGCTTGTCCATCTTCTTCTCAACGTCAAGAGTTAAGCACTGGACCTGGGCTTCGGTCATCTTTTTGTTGCAACCCTCACAGCGCCACTGGCTGTGGTCTTTGACAACCGGCACCAAGTAGCTCTGCCGACCCTTTCCTGTGCAAACCAAATCCCAACAAGAACATGAAGCACGACTGTCCCGACAGCTTGGACAAGGGAGAGATAAACAGAAAACAACGAAGAATCTGCGTCCTGTTTTTTTTTTGTTTTTGTTTTGTGTTTGAAATTTGGAGATCTCCACGAAAAGAAAACACGACCACAGAGGATCACCGTTTTTAGAAAGACGGAGATCTCCGTGAAAAGTAAAAACAATCACAGAGGATCTCCGTTTTCAGAAAGACGGAGATCTCCGTAGTGTTGAATACGGAGAGGGGCTGAGTTTAAATCGTAAGGACTTTCCGTAGTTTTTACTTGCAACGAAAAGAGGCGTAAGAGCGTACTCAAGTAGCTACACTGAGAATGAAAGAGTCATGATCATGACTAAAATTTTGGGCGAGGAATTCTTTATAACCCAAATTGGGGTCATACTACTATGGAGCCATATAGGCAGCTGATACACCCTTCGTCACCCAGTTTTGGGCGAGGAAGCCTTCCTCACCCAAAGTTGGGCCAGGAAACAATCTTCGCCCAAATTTGGGTGATAAAGTATACCTCGCCCAAGAGTGACGCTAGTTTTTCTGGAGAAAAGAGTACTTACGTGCGCAGACGACGCAGCAGGGCGAGCCAACGTACATTCCCATCTCGGTAGGGTCACTGCAGCGTTCGCAGTCGCAGACGAACCCCCAGCGAGTGAAGATGAGGGTGCGCCGCTGCATTGTCTCATCCAGCCAGTCGACGCCCTGCGAAAAAACATTCAAATAAGCAAGGCAAAACGCGCAATGGGCCAGAAGATCGTTGGAGGTGGTCAAAATACCGGACGGCGTTTCGAGCTCCAGAGTCGCTAATTGGTACTCAAACCGAAACGTGTGACACCACCAATAGATTCCTCGTTCGAAGAGTAGTCTATGGTGGGGTCACACGTTCGGTTCGAGTCATATTTAGCGACCCTGGAGCTCAAAACGGAAGTGCCTCCAGACAAAATGTTACCATGAATTACTTCGTAAGTGCCCAAAGATAATTTGTAGAAACAAAAAAGTTGTGAATTCACGAAGAATTTTCGGGAGGTGACAATGAATATTCCTGGAGTACCGAAGAACCTCTGTAAAGTCTTCGGGAATTTCCTCAGGTTCCCATCCGCAACATTTTTTTTTCTTGAGGCACCTTTGTACATTACAGGTATTTAACTGTGCAGCGTACCTGGTGGTTTTTAGTGATGCATTCGCCAGCACTGATGTTTCTCGTTGTCACTACAACGTGCTCCGCGGTCTCTGGCGCCATGCACCGGTCGCCGGTGTTGGGGTAGCAGCTGTGCTTCCGGAGCTGCATTCCGAGGTACAGATGCCGCCCGTAGCGCTACGACAGACAAATGCAATGAAACTTACCAACCTGTTACCAAACTGTTGAACATTAAATCGAAAGAAACGTGTTTTGAAAATCACGCTTTCCACGGGCACTCTATGGACTCTCTCTTACTTATAACGTTTTTCGAGCAAACATTAAATGCTCTCTTTTCTCTTTAACTGAGCACAATTGTTATCGTTTAAAGATATAATTGTCATTAGATCATCTAGAAATTGAAAAGTACATGGCAAGTGACAAAAAGTCAGGTTTAATGGACTAAATGCATTATGCAATGAACAAAATAGTGCAAAGCCAAAGAGAAAATAGTACATATTACGTTTGCACTAAAAACTTTATGGCAAGAGATAAAAAGTCAATACGAGACTGAGAGTGTGGAAACGGCCATGCTATGTTGACTTTCACGCAAACTTTTAAACCGTATGCTGAAAGTGATTCACCCCTCGCCCGATAAGCCACAAAATTAACGCCTTTGCGTTGCCAGTGTGTGTAACGTTTGTGCCTCCTCCTGTTATAGTCGTTAATACTTTTAAAATTATTATAACTGTTAAACTGTTGATGCAGGCCCACTGTGAAACCAAACGTGGACAACTCCACACTTCCTGGTGTGGAGTAGGTCTCCACACTTTGAAGTGCAGGGTTTGCAGTCTCACACTTCAAACGTGGAGTTGTCCACGTTTGCACCACACTAAGAGATGGGGGCCTCGTGAGCAACTCCACACTTGAAGTTCTCCACGTTTGGTTTAACAGTGAAGCCCAATAAATGTTTTCTTTTTAAGTGAAGGGGGACTGACCTGCTTGGTGACGCCAATGAACCTTTCGGGGCTGGGGCCCTCCATTTCCTCTCCGTACATGAAGGAGATGCGGGCGGCCCGTTTCAGGTCATCTTCAGAGAACTCCTTGACCGTCCGGCGCAACAGGGAGGCTACTGTGGAGCAGGCCTTATGGTTGCCTCTGATCATACTCGTCGCGGAAGGCACCCTCTGCAACGACAAAGCATTTTGAAAAATCAAGAACACGGAGCCATTTGTACACTGTAAAAGTAAATATCCGGAATTCTCAAAGGCACCTTCTTTTAAAAAAATAAAAAATATGTTGCTGAAGGAACCTCTTTGTTAATTCGAGAAGATTCTGCGTAAATTTACAGACAATCCGTGAAATGACGGAGGAACCTTCAGGCATCATTTTTTCCGGCAACTCCTCGGTTAATACCCATTTTTTTAAAATGTATGCAGTGTAGCATTTGTATCACGAAAACAGTACTACATCCTCACAATCTAGTGGGCAAAGTAGTCTCTCAATTTCCTACCTTGTAACCCTCTATCTCGAAGTTCCATTCACGGTCCAAATGTTGAAGCAGCGGGTTCCCGCGGAACGCTGCGGCAATGCGTAGAGTCGCCACAACAGCGCCAAAAAAGAAGTTCTGAGGGCCACGAAGGTCAACTGCGAAAGCAAAGAAAAAGTACAGGTTGCATTTCTTTCTCAACCCGGAGCAACTGGTCTTACACGTATTGCAGAAAGAAGGAAGTCAGCTAGGCCTATGCATGATCTATCATGGAATCTATCTGAGATTCCAAACGCTATGATCATAGGATTGAGACATTGCACCTTAAAGTGGTATCATGGTAAATTTCTTCGCAAGATATTTAGAGTGTAAGCAGTTAAGTTCGTAGTGAAGGTTCCAACTCCAACTTACCCTCGGACACTTTGTACTTGGCGCGCTGCATTATCTGGCACTCCACTTGGTGATTGGTCGACTGGCTGCACTGGTCGTCACAGACGGGGAGTCCACAACGGGTGCACTGGTAGGCCGACTTCATCCAGGTCATGTTGGCGTAGCACGCTGAACACATCCACTGCGGGAAGCAAGACTCTTATTACAAAAGTGGAAATGGATTTTGGAAGAATTTTGGAAGAAAGCCGTTGCATGCGTTGAAAACCAGTACACAGCGGCCCACAAGACCGGTGAAGGCGGTCAAAGCCCTGGACGCGTTTTGAGCTCCGGAGTCACTTAACAGGACTCGAACCAAACGTGTGACCCCACCAATGGAGTGGCTCTCCGAACGAGAAATCCATTCGTGGGGTCACTCGTTCCGTTCGAGTCCTGACTGTGGAGCTCAAAACGCGCTGTTAAAAAATGGGTTTACAGATAGAACAACCAGATGAGTGAAAATTTAGTCTGTCCAAAACAGAGAATGTCATCATGAACTAAAGAGAAACAAATGTTACTGAATTCAGAAAGCAACTATTTGTCGTAAAAGAACAAAATTATTCCTATCACCATTAATAGCGTAGAAACAACATCTTTTGCCATTATCTGCTTAATAAAAATAAATGAATAATATTGGAATCACCATCTATTTTGTTCTTCAAAGTCATGGGAAGATTTTTATTATTAGAAGTAGATGAAAAATAAAGTTGGCGACAAAACTACTCAATCAAGATTTGTCGCACACATTTTAAAATCCTATTTTGACTCACAACTTGTCGTTGACTAACAACATCTGTAGTTAGTCAACGACTTGTTTTCGAAGGTGAACTTTTAATATGTTATTACAGGTTTGTCGTTGTGAAATTATCCGTTGGTTGCATATACTGTACGACTATAGTTTAACAAGTTATTCGTTCCAAAACAAATCTTGTCGCTAAAGAAGATTATAGTTTAACAAATAATTAAGTTATTTGTTCCAAAAAAAAGCTTGTCGCTAAAAAAGATTATAGTTTAATAAGTTATTAAGTTATTCGTTCCAAAAAAAATCTTGTCGCTCAAAAAGATTAGCAATAAATGTGCCGCTGATTTTCGAAAAAAAAATTGGGCGCGTCTTGGCCGCCTGCTGCGCCGGTCTTAGCCCACTGTGCAGAGTACATTGTACATACCTTAATTTTGAGTGCGTGGTACGTCCACGGCGACGACGGGAAGGTGAGCGTGGGCACTTCGCGCATGATGACGGTGCCGGCTGGGATGCACTTGGTGGCCACCACCACACCGTTAACCAGCCCGATGCTGCCGCAGCCCGGCTTGTGCTGCGGCCAGTGCTCCTTCTGGTGCTCCTTGCTGCAGTAGTAGTGCACGCGGCAGCGCGCGCACGGCAGGCCGGATTTGCCGCACACGGCGCAAGGGCCCGTCGCATCGTCTGGAAAAGCAAGAGGACTGAACAGTGGGCCAGAAGACCGGTGCACACTAAATGTTTTTGTACAAATTTTGTACGAGACATCACAGTTTTTTGTGCACACGAACTTTTCGTACAAATTTGTACGAAATTTTGCACAAAATGGGGAGTTTTGTGCAGTTTTTCGTACAAAAATCGTACGAAAAGTTCGTGTGCACAGAAACTGTGATGTCTCGTACCAAATTGTTCATAACATTTGGTGTGTGGAGGTGGCCAAAATTCTAGGCGCGTTTTGAGCCTCAGAGTCGCCAAACAGGACTCGAACCGATCGTGTGACCCCACCGATGGATTCCGTAGTGTTCGGAGAGCAATCCATTGTTAGGGTCACACGTCTCTAAAGTTCAAAACGCTTTAAGAAAAAAAAATGAACAAATCTTAAAATTGAACATATACATTTAAAATTTTGACATTTCAAACCCTCCTGAAAGCATGTGAGGTAGATTTTTCGACTTATAGACTATATTACTTTAACTGAAAATGGGGTAAAACGAACAAAAAATCTATTGATATGTGTTGAAAGTTTCTGAAATCCCGAGCCAAACAACGAATGAGTTTCACAATAACTCTTTAATTATTTTTTGTTCACTTACTGTGGCTCAGAGGTCGCGCGGCAGACATCGTTGGAACTGATTAAAACCGACTGAAAATGGAGAAGAAAATAGATATGGTTAGGGTTCGAGAATACGTTTCACAAAGTCAACCAACACTTTTAAAAAATGAACAAAACTGGGACTTTTTGCCTAGAATACTGGTGGCGGTGGTTGAAATCCCGGACTGGTTTGGAGCTCCATAGTCGCCGAACGGGACCCCACCAATGGTTTGCTCTCTGAACGAGGAATCCATTGGTGGGGCCACACGTTCGGTTCGAATCCTGCCTAGCGACTCTGGAGGTCAAAACGCGCGAGTTTTGACCGCCTCCACCGGTTTTCTGGCCCACTGCACATTTTCCACTTGTACCCACGCACACGACGACGATGCGCTCCGCTGACTTGACTTGACCGCAGGTAGAGGCAGACTGCGTGCGCTGCGCACCGCACACCGCACAAGCAAGCATTCGGCAGCGGTGGTCGAGCCCGGCTGGACTGCCCGCTGATTCCGAGAAACATTCGTCGCTCTGTCTCTCTCGCACTCGCGGGGCATCCCGGGTGGGTGCGAGAGAGACAGAGCGAAGAAAACGACTCTCGGAATCAGTGTGCTAGCGCTTGACGAGGGGAGGGGATTCGGGGAAGCACTCTCGGCCGGCTCACGCACCGCGACGCAGGGTGTGCGTACACTGCAAATCCATCTGCGGGGCAGTGGCGTGAGCCAACCTGGCTGGCGGCTGCCGTTCTTTGCCATGAACCAAAATGTCTCACGCATTATTGTGATTAACGTGTGTTCCACGCTTGCAAGTGTGAAACGATTTTCAAGCGTAGGAAAACCGTAACTCAGACTTGGATTTTCAGTGTAGGCAGTCTCTTCTTTAGTTCACTGTGCCCCATATTACCCGCAATTACGGTAGCACACTGTACGTATATTGTATTTTTTGTGCCGGAAGAGTGTAAAGCCCTAGAGCAACGACGCTCCTGTGGGGTCATGGAGACACCGTATGTGTCCATGGCGGGCGCGTGACCGAAATCATGCTCGAACCTTTTTGTTGAGCGAAGCTCATTTTTTTCTCTGTCCATTCGGCTTGCCGAAAAAAAGTCTTGTGTCACTAATAAAACGTGACTAAAAAGAATGTGAAACAGGACTCATATTTTCTCCCTCGTCAAACTCCTCGTTTTGTCCCTCTACCTGGGAGTTGCTGCGGACAAAACGAGGGACCGAGCCCGGCCGAGTGACATTTTTGTCGTAGAGGAACAAAATTCTTCTTATCATGATTAACAATGTAATTGGTGAGTGTTTTGCCATTATCTGCTTAATCAAAATAAATAAGTAATATTGGAATCATCATCTAATTCAGTTTTTCTGAGACTCTTTGCAGAAGAACTAGAAGCATGGAAGAAAAGGTAGAAAATAAATCTTGATAAATAATTGTCCCTGTACCATTTTTTTAAAATTTACAACACTTGTCACAGGCACTAACAACATTTGCTGATGGTCAATGTCACGTTTTTGAAGGGGGACTATTAACTTATCACAAGGTTGCCGTTGTTGAATTATCGTTTTGTTGCAATTCAGTAATGATCCAATAATGTCTGTTCCTAAACAAATTTCGTAGCTAAAGAAGTTACTAGCAGTAAACATGTTGCGAATTAACGACAAAATTTTTAACAATGTAACCTCTCAATCTGATCTAATTCTGGAGGCACTTGATCGCCTCTGCAACAGCTTGGTCGACGTCCAAGAACTTGTCATCCGCGGCCCCGGTTATGTCGTCACTTCCATACAGCAGTTTGGTCGTGGCGTCGATGACGTCATCAGGTCCGTTGTACACCCTGATATAGTCCAGGACGGCGGCCGCAGTGCCGAACGCATCCTGAAACAAAGATACAGATGTAGTCAAAACCACACCAGTAAGATACTTCTCCCAATTATTTTTTAGAAAGAGAAAGCAGCAGATGGCTGTACGAGAAGTTGTAGTACTCTGTGGAAAATGTGCATGAACGGTTTCAGATTCAGCGGTCTCATCTTATAAGTTAAGTTCCTTATATTTTTACCATTAAGAAAGAAATAACTTAGAGGTCAGTTGTGTCATTGGCTAACACGTTTCACTTCACTGCGATACTTTAGTCAACAAAAATTTTTGTCATAGAAAATCTCCCTCTACGTCCCTGGTTTGGCATGAGTCGTCTTGCTTGGGATTTATTGTTAATGACTTGTCGATCTGCAGTGTCCATCTTGAGAATCACCCCCAAAGAATTTCAAGTCTTTCCGTCTCAATGAAAGATGCAGGAAGGTTTTTTACTAACACAAACAAACACTGTAAGCAGAACTTTTCTCCCAAACCGTTTAACGTTTTGGGTTGAATTCTGTTCCGAAAACTCACCATACTCGGTCTAAAAAAAATAGCCAAAACTTCAACCATGGGCAAATTTTTGAAGCCTACTTGCAAGTTTCACATGGGTCCCCCTAAACATCCTGTTTCCATGCCAAGATGTGGTTGATTCTAATTAGGTTTGGACGATTCCTAACTTAGACAAAAGCTTACCTTAGTGACGCTGCCTGCATAGTACTTTGCGTACGTAGCAAAATCACTGTAATCCGCGTCAATTTCTGCAAGAACTCGCTTAGCTGCTTCAAAGGGGTCCACCTGCCACAAAATACCAAAATAAACATTCGAGGCTGCAGAAATAGTAAGATTAAGTAAAGATTAAGAATCACAGCAGAAACCGATTCTTACATCAAATGATCGCTTTCCACGGATGTTCACGGGAGCAGCGGTGGGGCTGTCAGTGGGAGCATCAGAGGGAGCCTCGGTAGGGGCATCAGTGGGAGCCTCGGTAGGGGCATCAGTGGGAGCATCCGTGGGAGCCTGGGTGGGGGCGTCAGTAGGAGCATCCGTGGGAGCCTGAGTGGGGGCTTCAGTGGGAGCATCAGTGGGAGCCTCGGTAGGGGCATCAGTGGGAGCATCAGTAGGAGCCTGGGTGGGAGCCTGGGTGGGAGCCTGGGTGGGAGCCTCGGTAGGGGCATCAGTGGGAGCCTCGGTAGGGGCATCAGTGGGAGCCTCGGTAGGGGCATCAGTGGGAGCATCCGTGGGAGCGTCAGTAGGAGCATCCGTGGGAGCCTGAGTGGGGGCTTCAGTGGGAGCATCAGTGGGAGCCTCGGTAGGGGCATCAGTGGGAGCCTGAGTGGGGGCCTCAGTGGGAGCATCAGTGGGAGCATCAGTGGGAGCCTCGGTAGGGGCATCAGTGGGAGCCTCGGTAGGGGCATCAGTGGGAGCCTCGGTAGGGGCATCAGTGGGAGCCTCGGTAGGGGCATCAGTGGGAGCATCCGTGGAAGCCTGGGTGGGGGCGTCAGTAGGAGCATCCGTGGGAGCCTGAGTGGGGGCTTCAGTGGGAGCATCAGTGGGAGCCTCGGTAGGGGCATCAGTGGGAGCCTGAGTGGGAGCATCAGTAGGAGCCTGGGTGGGAGCCTCGGTAGGGGCATCAGTGGGAGCCTCGGTAGGGGCATCAGTGGGAGCCTCGGTAGGGGCATCAGTGGGAGCATCGGTAGGGGCATCCGTGGGGGCCTCGGTAGGGGCATCCGTGGGAGCCTCAGTAGGGGCATCAGTGGGAGCCTCGGTAGGGGCATCAGTGGGAGCCTCGGTAGGAGCCTCGGTAGGGGCATCAGTGGGAGCCGGGGTAGGCAGTGGAGTCGTGGCTTGGGCATTTGCTTCTCGGGCTGCTGCCGCCGCAGCCAAAGCGGCTTGGGCCGCCTGCGCTGCCTGAATCACTTCGATCTCCCAGAGCTGAATCTGCTGAGTGGCACCGGCTATCTTGCGCTTCGAGGATAGGATGGAAGCATCCAGGATCTTGCTGAATTCCTGTCGGCCAACAAAACAACATGTAAGATTCTGACTTTTCGAAACTGACCTATTTCCAGAAGTATGCGCCCTTGTCTTTGTGAGACAAATTTTTAGAAAGGGAACAGACACAAACTGTTGTATTATGGCGAGAATGGGGCATTTAATCAAGAAAAACAACAAAAATATTCCATATTAGACTTTACAGGAAGCTGCTTTTAAATTGTGCTTTTGTCAGTAACGTATGAATGTAGCTCTCTTAATTTGAATCTAAACCGCTGACGCGTGAAAATAGTTTTAGTTGGTCTCGAGAAGAGGATTCTATTGCCTTCATACTTTTTCAATTTGTCACTCGAGGTCTCACTTCATTCATAGCGTTCCGGTTTTCACGACTTAGCCAACTACCTACAAACTTCACTGAGCACCACATCTAAAAGTACAGTTTTTCTCGAAGCAAATACGGCCGGTCGATGTTATTATTCGTCTTTCCAGTTAGTGTGAAGTGAGGGCGCTACAGAAGTTAAGAAAGACTTACCACGACTGCCGAGGTGCCCAAGCCGTTGAACTTTCGGATTTCAGAGTCCACCTCATATCGGGGCAGGCGTCCTCCGCTTGACCTCGCTCGCCAGACGAAGTCCTCGAACTCATCTGCGGCGTCCTTGAAAGCACATTCAATGCTCTTGCCGGCGGCGTCCCTTGCCAGGGACACTTCAGTCGAGACATCCTGCCCCAAGGCCAACACCTCGCCACCTGGTGGAGGAACAGTCGAAACCAATCAGACGTCATACAAGGGTCGTTTACCTAGGTTATTCAAGTATTTCGCCATGACCACGGGGAAATCATCTCCTGGGATTGCTTGAAATATCGGTGGACTTCCAGGAGATGGTTTTACCGCGGAGAGAGCCCGTCTACACCACGTGACCACGCTGATGCGGTCTAGGCATAACTGCTGTCTGACGTCTCTGGATCCGTCTTTGCACGCGGCATTCGGTCAGATAGTGGGTTCTCCCCACCGTTCCCCGCATGTCCCCTCTCGTCTGGGGGCCAACAAACCCCTCGCCTGGGGGCCAACAAGCGGGGAACGATGGGGAAGTGGTGGGGAGAACCCGCTTTCCGACCGAATGGCGGGACAGTAGACCGGTGCCGGCGGCGGCCAAAGCTCTTAACGCGTTTTGAGCTCTAGAGTCGCTGAATGGCATACTAAATTACTACTTTTATCGTGCATACGTAGCTTTTGCACAGAATTGAGCTGACAAAGGAACCTATTCAGGGGGTACACTCAGATTTCGACCAAACTTTTTTTTCGTAAGAATAACATATAAGATTAAGAATGCACCCCAAAGTTGGTGCCATGATACATATCCACACCCCTCCTGACTTTTTTAAACCGAAAAAAGGGGTAAATGGCCCATGATTTTACATGCAACGAGCAGATTTTCGGTCGTAATTCGGTCGCACCAAATTTGTGCAAAATATGATAATATATGAAACAGACCAAAATTTTATCTCATTTTCGTCACAAGGGGACCAAACATTGAAGGAAATGACAAAAAACTCGACTTCAAATTTTCCGATTCGATGTCCGAAAATGACCCATACAATGCAAAAAGGCTTATTTTACCCCTTTTTTAAGTTTTAATAAATTGGTAAAGGGTGTAGATATATATCTTGGCACCAACTTTGAGGTGCATTCTTAATCTTATATGTTATTCTTACGAAAAAAAAAGTTTGGTCGAAATCTGAGTGTACCCCCTGAATAGGTTCCCTTGTGAGCATGAGCGTAAAACGCACGAATTCCTGCGCAACAATGCACAAATCCGTGCATTTTTACACGCACGCACAATTTTGTGCAAAGCTTGTGCACACAGTAATTTGAGCACTCGAACCGAGCGTGTGACCCCACCAATGCATTCCCCGTTCAGAGAGCAATCCATTGGAGGGGTCACATGTTCGTTTCCAGTCCTGTTTAGAGAGAGCCTCAAAACGCGTCCGGGGTTTTGACCGCCTCCACCGGTCTTCTGGCCCACCGCGCCGTTCTCCCGCCACTTACCGGCCGCCTGCACGGCGATGGTCTTCGCAAGTTGGGCTTGCTGGAGGGCGGCCTGCCCGGCCTGGCTGGCCCTGTCAGAGGCGTCCTGTGCCGCAGGCAGGTCCCCGACGGCCGCAGCCAGGAGAGTGGCTTCCAGTGCGCTCTCGGCCTCGGCTTTGGCACGGATGGCCTGCGCTAGAGCTCGGGCGATGACGTCACCGACGTCACCGACGCGCTGTTCGGGTTTGTGGGCAGGATGCGCCACAGCCACCTAAACAGATTTGGCTCATTGTAGACAATGAAAGGTTCGAGATCAGGACTTAAGGTGCGAGATCGCGGACCGGGGTCCAAGCAACGGCTAAAGGAACTTAGACCGTTGTATTGACCGGAGTCCTCTCATGCGAATACTCCTTGCCATTTTCGTTCAGGCAGTTCAGGCAGTGTAGCACTTTCCCGAGAGATGGCACCACAGTCGAGTACTTCCAAAAAATTAAAAGGTTCTTGTTGGGGGTGGAGAGTCCTATCCTCACTGTGCATCATCTTCGTGTCAATGCCGCCTGATTTGGCAGTGTAGTTGCCGGTGCGGCCGAGGCGAGCACCGGCACCCTCGTCAAAGTGCACAAAGACAGCTTGACAGGTGTCACTCAGCATGAGCACAGCAACGGGTGAACTTCTGAGATTTCAAATTTATCAAATCAAACTTGTTTCAGTCGTTTTCCTCGTCTCATCGCGGTGCCAGGGGTATATAAATTTATCCCAATAGTGCAAAATGAACGGGTAGTGTCCGCGGCCTAATCCTGTTGTTGGCCCTTCTGGGGCTGCCCCAGTGGCCGAGCGCGCTGCCGGTCCTGGGCTGCGTCTCCAGTGGGGGGAGGGGAGGGGGCAGACGGAGCGGAGACAATAGATCGGAATGCAGCGAGGTGTCCATCATAAACGTGTCGCACCGACTCGGCCGTCCTGCACGCAGTTCCGATTCTTTCCGCCGCGCCACCCTCCGATGCCTCAGGATTCGACCGCCAAATTCAAAACGTGTGAAAAGGACGGAAAACTGAGTGAAACGGCAAGAACGCCTACGCAAAAACTATGATAGGTACAGCGAATCCGAAAACGGATCCGTGTAGGGGAAGGGTGTCCGGAGGGCAATTGATCAGTCTGAAAGTAATCCGACAATAATTAGTGCCATTGGGGTAGCGTCAAAGAAAAGAGCGAAAGTAGTCGGTTTTGAACACCTCACCAAACGTACAAATATTGATCGCGCGGCTCCCGGCCTGATCAATTGCCCTCCGGACACCTTTCCCCTACACGAATATGCTTTTGGTTTCCAGATCAGACGCATAGTTGAGCCGAAGGCGTTTTTTTCCGCGAGCGCTGTTTTCACACTTACAACGTTCAATATTTCGGTTCAAAATTTTTTGAAAAGAAAATCCTTTGAATGGGGTGCTTGTATTGTCGTCCTTAATGCATGTACAAATTTTGAACGAAATCGGTGACCCAAAATTTACGCGATCTAGCACCTTAAATTTCGGGTGAAGTATTCTCTATCACCCAAATTTGGGTGGTAAAATGATAGTGCTCCGCCAAATTTTGATGATTAAATAGCTCTGAGCGAAACTTTGGCGGTAAAATAGTTTTAATTCAAATTTGGGTGATCAAGGTTTCCTCACTGTGGGTTATAGAACTGACTCGCTACCATTATGAGAAAGAAGCCAGTAACAAGCCGAGAGTGCAAGGAACCCTCGTAAACTCTCGATCATCCATTGTAAAACCACGAAGATTCTTTGTAAGTTTATTAAGAAATTTGCAAAGGGTTCTTCGGCATTATTTGTTTTTCACAGGTACCTTCGTAAATTCCTGATTTGTTTCTAACAATGACCTCTGCAGGTGCAGTGCTCTGTAAACTCAAGTGTGTACACAGCATACTTCAGGCTGAAGCATGCCTGCAGGTACACTCCACCTGGAGCATGCCAGCCAAGTAAACGCCACGCTGGGAGCATCCTTACCTGGTACACGCCAGGTGGCGCACAGCCGCAAGCACACTGTTGCTAAAACTCCCGCACCTTTAGCATACAACAGCAGAGCAACACATCGTATGTGGTGATGCATGATTTTAAACCTGTACCGTCGTGCATGAAATTGTGCGCGAATTTGCATGAATTTATGTATCTCTACGCATTATATTATGCAAATTCTACGTATGCACAAAATTGTGCGAGTTGCTCCCACAAAATTCTACCTTAACATTCAGCGAGAACAGTGTACTTGCCGGTAAGCGCCACCTGGCGTGTACTTCGCAAGCATGCTCCAGCGTGGACTGTTCAAGCCACAAGCTCAAGACCTTACGAAGTATTTTGATCATATACAGTACAAACCAATTTACTTGTTTTATACGAAGAAATAGTAAATTACGAAGTATTTTCTTTGTAAGCTTATGTCTGCTCCAAATACTTTGATATAACAAGCTGCTTTCCTTTGTAAGGCCTAAAATAGTTTGTAAGATTTACTCAGTGCAGGTATGCTCCAGGCAGAGTGTGCCTGCAGGCATGCTGCAACCTGAGGCATGCCAGTTAAGTTTGTAGGATGGCCAAACTGCAGACGATTGGACCACCTGAAATGGTGTGGTTAACGCCACACCCACTCTTACCTGAACGGCGGCAAGCGCCAAAAGAACCCAAGCAACGGACTGGGCCATGATGACTTCGAGAGTGGACTGGCCTCATCACTCTGGCTTTATATAACGACAGCCTGTACGGGACCAGTACAAACACTAGAAACGGTTGTATAATCTACTTCAAATTATGCATGTGAAGAGATTCTGAAGTACAACGCTATCTTAAACGTCACGATGTAGATAAGATGCTAGAATTCGCTGATTCATTTGGGGAGCAGTGAAACTATATATGCTTTAATGGAGCCCTGCGAGCGATGGTTCAGAGGATTCATGACCACAGCTTGCCGAGCGAACTGTCCCAATTCGGTCGGACTTGACACCTTCGGAAGGATCGACCCTTCAAGCGTCTTCTTCGGTTCACGCCCTCAATATCACTGCATCGCGCAGTGGGCCAGAAGACCGGTGGAGGCGGCCAGAACTCTAGACGCGTTAGCTCCAGAGTCGCTAAATGGGACTCGAACCAATCATGTGACCATCAACGGATTCATTGTTCGTTGAGATCTTTCCGCGCTAAGCAACTTGTGCAATACCTGCATCTTCGCCACACTTTGAGACCCAGCTTATTCGCAGCGAAATGGAATTAAACTCAGTGTTTTTGATACTCCAGTAAAAACCGAGTTCAATTCCGTTAGTGGGGTCACAGTCACGTTCGGTTCGAGTCCCACTTAGCTACTCTGAAGCTTAAAACACGTTCGTGATTATGACCGCCTCGACCGGTCTTCTGGCCCACTGTGCTTCTCCTCGCGCCGAAGGCGTGGCTCACGGTTACAGATTGGGGCTGCACACCAATTCTCTTCGCGGTTCCTCTAGAGATAGAACGACGGCCTCACTCAGCACATGGCGGAATCGAAATCACCCTGCAGCTGCAATCCACTCCAAGAACAGAACTGCACTCTCAGATTATTTTTTTTGTAAAATGACAACAAAACCTCTGCAAATTTTCTATCACAAACCCTTTGTATTTTCAAATTACAACCACGTCGTATTTTTACAAGAAGTTTTGTAATTTAACGACATAAGGAAGACAGTTGTCTGGATCCATGAAGTCCTTTGCAGAATACAAAAGTAATCATCATTTGAAGAAAAAAGTCATTATATTACAACTAAACTGGTAAAATCGGGGAAGTTTCTTTTTTTTCTGGCCTCAGTAGAATATGACACAAGTCATTATTTGAAGAAAAGTATCGTTTTTTAATTTTACGACAAAATGTGTAAAATCAATAAGATTTTTTGGTTGTAAAAATATGACACTTCCCTTCACCTTCTTCTGCAATGGTTTTACTTCGATTTCCCTGACAGATTTGAACCCACAACTTTACTCTTTCGGTGCACGGTCTCTACCACTGAGCTCCCAAGACACACGCTAGCTGGGGAGCCAGCTACCTAATGACTCTTCAAGTGAAGCTTTACTGTTCTTCAAACAAGTAAACGTTAGCAACTTAGTTCATCCAATTTCTTTTCATAAATTTACAACAAGGGTCATATAATGTGACAACAATAAATTTAATCCAATTTTTTGAAGTAAATTAACACAAAGTATTGTAGTTGGAGATTTACGATAAAGTTTATCCCAAACTGTATCCTGAATTTACAACCATCGATGTACTTGGAGCCTTACAATAAAGTTCATCCAAAAATATATCTTGAATGAACATCCCGTGTAATACTTCATCCATATTTTGTTCATAAATTTACAACAATCGTTGTGTTTTGCGTTTTACAATTAGTTCACCCAGATTTTGTTCATAAATTTACAACAATCGTTGTGTTTTGCGTTTCACACATAGTTCCTCCAGATTTTGTTCATAAATTTACAACAATCGTTGTGTTTTGCGTTTTACAAATAGTTCATCCAGAATTTTTTTCATTAAATTACAACGATTGTTGTGTTTTGCGTTTCACAAATAGTTCATCCAGATTTTGTTCATAAATTGACAACAATCGTTGTGTTTTGCGCTTTACAAATAGTTCATCCACATTTTTTTCCATAAAATTACAACGATTGTTGTGTTTTGCGTTTTACAAATAGTTCATCCAGATTTTTTTCATAAATTTACAACAATTGTCGTGTTTTGCGTTTTACAAAGTGTTCATCAAAATTTTTCTCATCATTTTACAAGAATTTCTTAGAGTGTGTCCTAGTCCTCTTCCAAAAGCTGGCCGCGACGTTTACGTCCAATCAATCTCCTAGGCCTCTTAGAAGTGTCACGCTGCCAGCCTCTGTGGTAAGAATTAACGGTAAGGCAGATTGTAAAAAAAATAAAACAGACTTAACTCTTGTTGTCCTTTTAACGCACAATTATGCATGCACAGACACATACGTAAGATCTGAATTATATTATGCACCACTATGTATATTTTAAGCAGGATAATATGCACAAAATGCACACAAAATGCATTAACATTGTACACACCTTACTCTGCATGCATAATTAGGCATACAAAGTTCATAGTTATGCATTGAAAAGTTCGCATTTAGTGTGAATATGACATGTTGGAGTAAGCATCGCGCCAGTTAAAGGGAGGTCTTCTGGCGGCCCTTGTTACTACCCATCCGAGTATAGACATGCCTTAAAAGAAATCAGAGAGATCAGACGACGTCGACCGATTTCATAGCAACGGTTCCTGGTTTTCCCAGGGACTCCCTGGAAATCGCTCTTATTTTAACCATAGGCTTCCTGGGGAAACAAGGAACCGTTTTAAACGTTCAAAATATACTGTCCTCCAAATTTAATTAGGCGTCGTCAGACCATATCGGAGCAAGATAAAAAAACCTTACGTAACATGAGGCGCTGACAAGATGCAAAACGCCCCCCAACTTAGAGGACGCAGCGGGCAGAGGGGTACATGAAGAGATCGGTATCCCCAACCAAGTACAGTCACCACCGGTTAACCGTCCTGGTTTGGCCACTGGTTAGCTGTCCCACTGACATCCCCACCAAAACCGGCCGGCGAGGGATTGCCGGCTACCACCGGTCCCGGCTCGGCCTGCGGCGTGGTGGAGGCGGTCGAAATCCTGGACGCCTTTTTAGCTCCATAATTGGTCAACAAAACTCGAACCAGTTTTGACCGCCTCCACCGGTCTTGTGGCTCACTAAGCAATGTCCTGCTGACTTGACTTCAGTGAGGCAATGACCGAAATCGGCCAAGTGCTGCCGGCCTTGTCGACCTTTGGACGATCAATGCTCATGCTCAGGTGAGGGTCCCAAAATGACGTGCTTCGCCCACTTCAATTGTTCTATCACCAATCAATAGTCTTATCTTTCCTGGGACGTGCCCCCAGTTTCATGAACTCAGCAACAACGATCGCTCTAGGTGCGGTAAGAAAGAAAACAATTGATGGAAGAAGGCAGCCACTGCAAATTGTGCAATACATTCGGTGCACAATGCGTGAACATGACAAAAGAAAATATTTGATAAGACGATTGAGTGCGTAGGAAGGTAAATTTAAAACTAATGACACAGGTTTGACAATCTTCACAAAAGTTTGCTTACACGTAAGGTAATATTGTTGAACTGAAAACAAAATTAAGGCTGTGTCAAAACGAAAAAAAGGAGTCGATACAGGAAGAAAAAACAACGTTACAACAACCAATCAGACCCGAGGGGGTACTCACTCGGTTTTTTCGGGTACACAGAATATGAATATGCGTGAATACTTGTGAATACTGAGAATCATGAATCTCCGAATACAAAAAATCTACACGAATATCAAAGAATATGAATAAATAGTTGGGAATATGTTCGAATACTTGAGAATATATCTGAATATGTTAGTTAAAGATTAGGCTTTTCGGCAAGCCGAGAACCAGGATTCTTCCCGGATCTCATTTTTTCAAAGAAACGTCCAAATATGGACCCGAGAGTGATACCAGAAGCTCTCGCGCCGAATTTCGGACAAAAGACCGACGAAATAATGTCAACAAGGACTAAAATACCTCTGAATACTAGGGAATACCCGTGAATACTAAGAGAATACCCGTGAATACTTACGAATACTTCGAAATATTCTGAATATGTGTGAATATTGAGAATACTTGTGAATATGTAGAGATTTGACGGTTTAAAACAGAGCTAAACAAGT